CCCCCCCAAAAAAAAAAACCAGGCTGGGGAGAAAAGTTCAACAGACTCTATCCAAAATAACTAGCAAAACGCCAGTCAAGAGGTATGGCTTAAGTGATGTAGCATCAGCCAAACAAATCAAGCAAGCTCAGTTGTAGTTGTAGTCAATGTGCTAATTTGTGATTATAATGCATCTTGATCAGTATCACCACTTTCATTATTCTCTCATATCTTCATTCTTACTTATTAAAAAAAGTATAAATCCTCTTTGGAATTATTGCCTCATGGCAGCTCTCAAGGCCATGAATATGAATTTCAGAAGCTCAGTAAGGACCAGTTTATGCTATTCTTTGGAAATGTGACATTCAACAAGACTGCAGAATGCATCCTTGTGAACATGTTTAAAGGAGTGCCTCAGAAGTAGTAGGTTTTCATGGTTTAAAGAAGAGAGGGGGGAGGGGGAGGATTGGGTGGGGAGGGGGAGAGTACGGGAAGGGATGGGAAGGGGAAACAAAGGAGGCAACAATGCTTGATAAGAAATGTACTCCTTATCTTGTCCATGTAATTGTAACTCCTCTGTATGGTATTCTCTCTCACACACACACACACACAACGTCCCTAAGTGATTAACTGAGGTGGTCTTGGGATATCATATAAAGAAGAAAAATTTCAAAATAAAAAAAATAAGAAGAGACAGAAGCCAAGCATCAGTGGCTCACTCCTGTAATCCTAGCTACTCAGAAGGCTGAGATCTGAGGATCAAGGTTCAAAGCCAGCCCATGCAGAAAAAAATCCCCAAGACTCTTATTTGCAATTAACTACCAAAAAACCAGAAGTGGAGGTGTGGCTCAAATGATAGAATGCCAACCTTGATTAAAAAAAAAAAAAGGCCAAGCAAATGTGTTTATGCGGAGATTTAGATCAAGCTGGCAATAATAGTGCCGTGATACAAACCTTACAGTCAAAGCCATTAAGGACCCTGAGAATGGATACAACAAATTTTAAATGTTGGGATGTATGTTCATAAACTCCCATTACCACAGATAATACTAAGAACTTAAGATGTCAATAAATTGAACGTGAATGAAAATAAGATTTAAGCCAAAGGAGAGCCTGAGGCCTTGAGTTAAAACCCCAGTACCAGCAGGGGCGCACACACACACACACACACACACACACACACACACGTTGAGCATAGACTTCAAAAAGTGTCACTCTGTAATTCAATGCTTCTCAGATGCCATTGTCATGTATGCTCTTAGGCTTGCCATCCTCCAGAACTGTAACATGTACATTTTTTTTCTTTATTTGGCTGGGTAGCTCACACCTGTTCAAAACCAGCGCAGGCAGGAAAGCCCCTGAGACTCTTATCTTCAATTAACCACCAGAAAAACGGAAGAGTAGCTGGGGCTCAAAGTAGTAGAATACTAGCCTTGAGTGGGAAAAGCTCAGGGACAGCAGCGCCCAGGCGCCAAGTCCAAGCCCACGACCGACAAGAAAAAAAAAGTGTTTGGGATGCTCCCTGGCAAATGTATAGAAACTCTGATTAGACAGATCTAGGGGAAGCTGCATGCCCAGGGAAAAATAAATCAGAAAAACCCTATTTCAGATGGGAGGGCAGAAATTCATCAGCCCGTTCTTCCACCTTCGGCCGCTAGATGCCGCCACAAAAGCTTTTCTTGAAAGCATAGACAGGCAACTTGGCTGCCCAGAGCGTCCAGAGGCTTTACCGGAAGCTCCTTGCACGCACCTCGCTCGCTCCTTGCTCTCTCCTTCCGGCGCGTTGAGAACCTAAGCGGGACGAGGCGTTACGTGGGGCTACGTGGAGGAGGACTCGCGATTGGGAATCAAGTCTCGCGATTGCTCCTCTTCTTTCTGTACTTTGTGGCTAGCGACAGGCAGCTGTCGGCTTGCTCCTAGGAGAGTCCCTGGGAGTCGCTTGGTCTGAGATTGGAGTGAGACCCCAGTCTTAGGCTGGGGCTCTTTCCATAGAGAGGAGACGGATTCGGAGGGGCTACAGGTAATTTGTACTCTCCCCCGCCCCGCGGAAGCTTGGGCCTTCCCCGTCTCCATGACGACGCCCCGCCCCCAGCGCCTGTCCAAGCCCGCCACCAACTGTCCCGCGTCCCTTACTCTCCAAGAAACTTCCTGTTCAGTGGGATCAGACTTGCAAAACTGGTGGAGATAGAAGTGATGCTTTTGGTATTATTGAGATCGAGAAACTGGAGTTCAGTACACACACACACACACACATCCCGGAGATGGACTTTTTTGTAGAGCCTCTGCAGTCCCTTCACTCTCTAATCACTCTCTAATAAACCCCAGTAGCTTTGGGAGAAAACTAACCCAACCTGAAAAACCATCAGCGGGTGTGTGTGTGTGTGTATCTTACAGATTTCAGAGAGCTGCTGGAGAGTTTGGCTGTTGTTTTCCTCCACGATTCTCTCTGATTTCAGCCACTCTACCAGCAGTTCCTAAAATGAGGGTCAGGATGACTTAAGTTTGGATGGGGTAAAGGTTTCCTGCAAACCGGTGCCTTGGGTAAGGAAGAGGAGCCTCTGCTGGTTTGTATCTCCTTGGAGATGCTTAATGTTTATGTCCCATGATGGGAGCTGTGTAATCATGTTTTCTTTTGTTCAGACCAAGATTGTTGAGAACCAGACGTATGATGAACGTCTAGAGATTAAGGATTCCGAAGAGGTTGCAAGTAGTTGTACTCCAACCTCAGGAAACCAAGGTAAGAAGAATGAAGAGGGAAGAAGGGAAATTGTTCTTAAAGATGGATTCATGTTTATATGCAACAGGTTCTGAGTTCATAATAGCTGATGTTGACTTTCAAAGTCAGTTGTCAAGTGCTTAGATGAGAGAGAGTCAAGCACTTAACGATTCCCTCTCCTCCCCCCTCCCATCTTTTTTTAGCAAGTAACTGTGTTTGAACTCAAGGCTTCAGGTCTTTGCTTGCTTAGAGTTGGTGCTGTACCATTTGAATCATTCCTCCACTATGGCTTTTTGCTGGTTGCTTTTGAAATTAGAGTCTTGTGGACTTTTGTGGTTTTTAATCACAATCCCCTGGATTTTCTGAATCAGTGCCTCACTGTGTAGTCTAGGTGGGGATCTTGAACTCACTATCATCCTGCCTTACCCTTAAAATACTAGGATCCACTCCAGTGCCAAGACATCTGGCTTTGTTTTCAAACTAGTTAAGGAGAGAGAAATTACAGTTTAGCAGATTGTAGACTCTTCCTTCAGCACAACTCTATAACATTTTAAATTTATTACTGACTGCTCAGTTTGCAGGGGTTGCTGGTTTTGTTTTTCCTCATCCAAACTCATTTGCTCAACTTTGAAGATACTTAACAGAATATTGTTAAAGGAGTTGACACCATTCATTTATTGAATAACACTTTTGAATGCCTCGTATATAGGTACCATGCCCGCCTTATGTCTGGGAATAGGTATACACAAAGACAGATTGTTCTTGTTATCTTAGTGTATAGGAGACAGATGACCAATACATGAACAAACATAAATGCAAATGTATTTGTACATTGATGAAGGCAAAATGTTTGCTGTTATGGAAAATGGTGATGAGGAAGATTTTTTTTTCAGTCGTAGGACTTGAACTTAAGGTCTGGGTGCTATCCCTGAATTCTTTTGCTCAAGGTTAGTGCTCTACAACTTTGAACTATTGCTCCACTTCCAGTTTTCTGGTAGTTAATTGGAGATGAGAGTCTCATGGACTTTTCCTGCCTGGGCAGGCTTTGAACCGATCCTCAGATCTCAGCCTCCTGAGTAGCTAGGATTACAGGTGTTAGCCACCGGCACCTGGCTTTTTTTTTTTTTTTGCCAGTCCTGGGGCTTGAACTCAGTGCCTGGGCACTCTCCCTTAACTTCTTTTGCTCAAAGTTAGCACTCTACCACTTGAGGCACAGCACCACTTCTGGTTTTATTTGTTTATGTGGTACTGAGGAATTGAACCTAGGGCCTCAGGAATGCTGGGCAAGCACTCAACCACTAAGCCACATTCTCATCCCACCACTTACTCTTATTTGGCTTTTTTGATCAAATCTAGTGCTCTACCACTTGAGGCACACTCTACTTCTGGCTTTTATTTGCTAGTTGTTGATAAGAGTCTCACAGATTTTCCTATCTTGCCTGGCTTTCAGCCTTGATCCTCAGATCTCAGCCTTTCAAGTAGCTAGGATTACAGAGATGAGCCACCACAACTTCAGAAGCAGAGCTTTGGAGGCTGTGTTGCTGTTAGGAGGAGGAGGGGGTGAAGGCACAAAGGTGAAGTTGCGTAGTAGATGGCAAGATGGTGGGAATAGCTGAGCTGAGGTGAACTTGGTTTGGACTGTGATGATGAAGTCCAGAATAGAGGTAACAGAAGTTGCAAACACAGGAGAGAGACTTAGAGACTCTTAGAGACGCGGGTTTATGAAATGATGAAAGCACAACATGTAATAAACTAACAATACGAACCTTTAGAAATAATTGAACCTAACTGGAACACTTTTCTCTGAAGGGTTTCCTCATTCTGCCCATCCTCCTAACACCACCATGGCCGATAACAGCAGTGATGAGTATGAAGAGGAAAATAACAAGGTCGGTATAACCCACAGCTTCTCAGAGAATTTCTGCTCTGGGTGTGCAGGAGGGAGCTGGAAATGACACCAGAGCCGCAGGAATCTTTTCCTGATCACTCTTCAGTGGTTGGCTACCTTTGAGCTCATGGAAGACAAATAGGAGTACAGGGTCTAAGATGTTGACTCTTCTTCAGAATAAACCCCTACTTCTGTGCGTGCATGTATGTGCGTGCGTGCGTGCGTGTGTGTGTGTGTGTGTGTGTGTGTGTGTGTTGCTGGGATCAAACCCAGGGCCTCACATGTGCTAGGTAAGTCCCATACCACCAAGCCACATCCTTGACCCAAGCCTCATGTTATAGCTGATTTTTTGGTAAGGAGTTTTATCTGAAGCAGGGTAGTGTTTCATACTTTTCCTGATTATAAGAAATAGCTGGAAAACTTTTTTTGTGTGTGCCAGTCATGGGGCCTGAACTCTGGGCCTGGGCACTGTCTCTCAGCTCTTCAGCTCAAGGCTAGTGCTCTGCCACTTGAGCCACAAAGTTACTTCTGGCTTTTTCTCCTTATATGGTGCTGAGTAATTGAAACTCAGGGCCTCATGCATGCAAGGCGAGCACTCTACCACTGATCTACCTTCCTAGCCTGCCTCTCCCTTTTTTTTTTTTTGTCATGGGTCTTGAACTCTGGGCCTACGTGCTGCCCTGAACTCTTCAGCTCAAGGCTAGTACTCTATCACTTGAGCCACAGCACTACTTCTGGTTTTCTCTTGATGAATTGGAGATAAGAGTCTCATGGACTTTCCTGCCTGGGCTGGTTTTGAACCATGATCCTCAGATCTCAGCTTCCTGAATAGCTAGGATTAGAGGCATGAGCCACTGGTGCCTGCTGCGGGCCCCCACCCCCACCTCCACACCCCTCCACCCTCACCATGCCCCATCCCCCCACCTCCTTTGTGAGGCTTGAACTTAGGACCTGGCCGCTGTCTCTGAGCCTCTTTGTTTCCAAGGCTGTGTTCTACCACTTGAGCCACAGTGACACTTCCAGTTTTTGATCAGTAAATTAGACATAAGAATCTCATGGGTCCTTTTCTTCCTGGGCTGGCTTTGAACCTGGATCCTCAGATCTTAGCTAAGGTTATAAGTGGCACCCGGCAATTTTTGAAATCTTAAGACATACAGTGTCAGGCACTGCTGGCTCACCCTAACTACTCAGGAGGCTGAGATCTGAGGATTATAGTTTGAAACCAGCCCCAACAGGAAAGTGTGTGAGACTCTTGTCTCTAACTAATGAGCAAAACAGCCAGAAATGGAACTGTGGCTAAAATGGTAGAGTGCTAGCCTTTGACCAAACCGGCTAAAGGAAAGCTTAGTTTAAGCCCTAGTAGTAGTACAAAACAACCCCGATTCCCTTTGTTCTTCTTATGTGAACCTAAGGAATGCCCTATTTCTAGCAGGAAGCTGGGACGATGCCTCAACCTTGAACCAGGTGGGATCTCACATGCACGCTGCCTCGCAGCCGTTACACGCAGCCCTAGCACATGACCACCACTTACACCTCAGTGTCCTTTCAGAACGTGAGTGCGGTGGAGCGGTTCATTGGTGCCATGAGGCCCTGTATTCAAACTGGGTTATGTTATCAAAACAAAACAAACTAAAAAATAGGGCTGGGAAGGTGGCTCAGGGGTAGAGCGCTTGCCTCGCATACATAAGGCCCTGGGTTTGATTCCTCAGCACCAAATAAGCAGAAAAAGCCAAAAGTGGCACTGTGGCTCAAGTGGTAGAGCGTACTCCTTGAGCTGAAGAGCTGAAGGACAGCGCCCAGGCCCTGAGTTCAGGCCCCATGACTGAAAAAACAAAAAACAAAACCCAGGAGCTTTGACACCTCAAGGGAGGGATGTTGAAAACAATGTAGGAAGCCATAGTAATACTTTAAAGACCTAGGACTGACATAAGTCATAGAACATTTGGAAACCAAGCTTTCAAAACCTACTTTTAAAGGGGGCCAATTGGTCATCCTTCAGGTCCTAAGGGAGGGCATGCCACAGGCTCCAGGCCACAGAGTTAAAGACATGGACCCCATCCCAACTGCCTCTGCAAGTCCCAAGTGCCACCAGATCCCTTCTCATGGACTTGACAGGGTGGGATGGTACAGAGACAGCCAGAAGCTCAGAAAGGTAGGTTATCACGCCAAGAGCGCAGGGAGCCCTCATCCTGAGCTAGACTGTTGTGTTTGTTACATTTACCTCATGGGAGAAGGGAAGGGAAATACAGTTAGGTACGATACTCCACTGAGAGAAATATCACTCAACAAAAGTGGAGAGAAAGCCCTCGTCACAGAGCTGGAGTCAGAATTCAGGCTCAGGGTTGATTTTGTTCCTTCTGTGTTTGGTATTCTCAAGCTGTTTACTCAGCAAATCAAATACTAGATTTCCATATGTGAGTCCTAAGATCTCACAAACTCTAAAGTTTGTCTGCCTCACTTTACCTTCTTCCATTTCCTCCCAAAGGAAAGTGACCATCCTTTTCTCAGCAAGTCCTTTAGTTTTAAGCGTTGAAGCTGTCCAGATAATGTTCACAGAGTCTCTAGAATCTCCTTAGCAATAGGTACAAATTGGGTAGAATTTACACACAGCCTCTGGTAGAGGGATATGGTTTCAGAAAGTGGGGTCCAGTGTGCAGCTGAGCAGAGTGGAAGGCTTGCCTTCTGGCGGTTAGGAGCCAGGTGTCTCAGGGAGGGGGGTGGTGTTCTGGGTAGAACACTGCAACGCTGGCAGAGTACTTTATGTCCCCAGTCTACAAACCTTTCTCTGCCCATCCTGCCCTGCCCTATCCCAGGAGAAGAAGAAGGTCTCACAGCTGACACCTCAGCGGGGCTTCAGTGAAAATGAGGATGATGATGATGATGAAGATGACTCATCAGAAACAGATTCTGATGAAGATGATGATGATGAAGAGCATATAACGCCTCTGGAAGGGTAGGAGGGACCCCATGCCAAGGAGGAAGACCCTGTCTTCCACCACAGTGGGCTGGATGATACCAAAGTGAAAAATGTCATCCTGTTCAGCTCTCATGCCAAATCAGTCATGATCCATCCCTACAGACTCTAATCAAAACATTCTAAAAACCCTGCATTTAACACACCATTACTACTAAGCTAGGCACTAGTGGTACATACCTATAGTCCTAGCTACTCAAGAGGCTGAGGACAGGAAAGCCTATGAGACTCTTTTATCTCCAATGAATGACCAGAAAACCTAAAGCGGCAATGTGGCTCAGAGTTGTAGCATGCTAACCTTCAGCAAGAAAAAGCTCAGGAAAGCACCCCACGACTGACCAAAAGAAAACCCTGAAAACCAAACATACAGTTACTAGGTTGGAGATGTAGCTCAGTGGTAGCACACTTGCCTAGTATTTGTGAAGCCCTGGATTCTAATGAACATTTGCTAGCCCGCTAGCCCAGTGTGATGGTTTGGGCCTATGCTCCCAGCTGCTGGGAAGACTGAGGCAGGAGAATCTCTCAAGCACAGGCGTTCAAGGCTGTCTTGACAACATAGTAAGAACCCTATCTCTAAGCAAAGAAAGAGAAGAACTAGCTGAAAGAAGGAAAAGAGAGATAGGAAGGAAGAAAAGGAAATAGAACTACTAGCTAAATATACAACGGGATAGCCCATGAGTAGAAATCTGTGCAGCCATTAGAAATTTCATACATGATGGCTTTCTACAGTAGCTCTACAGGAGGTACTGTTGAGTGTTGAAGCAGTTTAGTGTTCCTGGTGTGTGTGCAGCAGATGATGTATGTGTCTCTAGAAGGGTCTTGCAAAATCAGGCAGATTGCCTGGTTACCTTTGGGAGAATTTAGTGGCAAGGGTATGGAGTGTGAGACAAATAAGACTTTTCACTGTGTATAATTAGTATATTTATTTTAGTGCCAGGTATTATTAAATCCAGAGTCATTAGGAAAACACTACCACTGATCTATACATCCAGCCTTTGATTTTTCTTTTTTTGTCGGTCATGGGGCTTGAACTTTATAGGCCTGGGTGCTGTCCCTTAGCTCCTCAGCTCAAGGCAGATGTTCTACCACTTGAGCCACAGGACCACTTCTGGTTTTCTGGTGGTTAATTGGGAATAAGAATCTCATGGATTTGGGCTGGGAAGGTGGCTCAGTGGTAGTGCTTGCCTTGCATGAATGAGGCCTTGGGTTTGATTCCTCAGCACCACATAAGCAGAAAAAGCCAGAAGTAACTCTGTGGCTCAAGTGGTAGAGCACTAGCCTTGAGCTGAAGAGCTGAGGGACAGCGCCTAGGCCCAGAGTTCAGGCCCCACGACTGACAAAAAAAAAAAAAAAAACTCATGGATTTTCCTGTCCAGGCTGGCTTTGAATTGCAGTTCTCAGATCTGAGCCTCCTGAGTAGCTAGGATTACAGGCATAAGCCCCCGGCTCCTGGTTCACATTTTTAATTTTCTGCAGCTTTTCCCTTCTAGATCAGATGTGATTGAGAACTAACTGTAGTGGGCTGTAAAGTTACTGGGAAGCCACCAGGAAAGCAGGTGTGGCAGGGGCAGGCTCTAGCTTTAGGCGCCAGCTTCCTGACCAACCCAGGGCTCTGCTCTGGCCCCTTTAACCATCCTGTATGTTCCTTTCCCCAGGGCTTATGATCCTGCAGATTATGAGCATTTGCCCGTTTCTGCTGAGATTAAGGAACTCTTCCAGTACATCAGTAGGTGAGAACAAGGACCTTGGACTGAGTGCCACTGCCTGGCCTTGCCCGGCTTTCCTCTCCACTCGGGGACAAGGCCAGGCTTCTTGCTGTAGCCTGGGTAGTGGAGCAGCTTCTCTGACAGCCTCCCCCCTCCTTTGGCACTGTCTTCCAGGTACACGCCTCAGTTGATCGACCTGGACCACAAACTGAAACCTTTCATTCCTGATTTTATCCCAGCTGTTGGAGATATTGATGCATTCTTAAAGGTACAGACAGAGCATCTTGACAAATGATCCTTCTTTTTTTTTTTTTTTTTTGTCAGTCGTGGGGCTTGAACTCTGGGCCTGGGCACTGTCCTTCAGCTCTTCAGCTCAAGGTGAGTGCTCTACCACTTGAGCTACAGCGCCACTTCCGGTTTTCTGGTGGTTTATTGGAGATAGGAGTCTCACAGTCTTTCCTGCCCGGGCTGGCTTTGAATGGTGATCCTCAGATCTCAGCCTCCTGAGTAGCTAGGATTATAGGCGTGAGCCACCAGTGCCCGGCTATGATCCTTCTTTTTTTAAAAAAATTAAAAATGACCCTTCTAACAATTCTGCTAACTCACTAGTAGTGGCTGTCTTAATAAATTTCATAAATAAATTGTCATTGGAGTTTTATTTTTTTGTGCATGTATGCCAGTACTAGGGGTTGAGCTCGGCTTGGGTGCTGTCCCTTAGCATTTTCACGCAAAGCCAGGTGCTCCCCACATGAGCTACTCTTGTTTTGTGTTTTTGTTTTTGATTTTGATTTTTTGGTTAACTGGCAATAAGAATCTCACAGACTTTTCTCCCCAGGCTGGCTTTGAACCACAGTCTTCTCAGACCTCAACGTCCTGAATAGCTAGGATTACAGGCATGAGCCATTGGTACCTAGCTAAACATGCTCTCATTTAATACTAGAAATAACGATGAACCAGAAGACTTCCCTTCTGACTTACTGGAAACAGCAGCTGTGGCTTTGTTACAACCTCCCATTTGTTCTCTACTTTCGCCTTTTTCCTGCAGGTTCCACGCCCGGATGGAAAGCCTGACAACCTTGGCCTGTTGGTACTGGATGAGCCATCTATGAAGCAGTCGGACCCGACGGTGCTGTCGCTCTGGTTAACAGAGAATTCTAAGCAGCACAATATCATAGTAAGACTGGCCAGCTGCAGCAAGCCGGCCAAGAGCCCAAGCCTGGCTGACATTTGTATAGCTGACTGCTGCCAGACCAACTGTTCCAGTTCAGCTTTATTGACATTTAATTTCTACACCATAAGATCCATCCTTTTTTAAATTATTATTATCTTTAGTTGTACAAAGAAGTTCCCATTCTACAAAACAGTATAAAGATCCATCCTTTTTAGTTAAAAAGCTTTTTGGGGGGATAGTACTGAGTTTGAGAGACTGGTGTACTACCATGGAGCCATGCCTCCATGGCTACAGTCACCCTTTTACATTGGGACCGTCCACTTATTTTCAGTATGGAAGCATATGACACTGTCACTATTGAATTATTATTTTTCTGTGTGTGTCATGCTTGGGATCGAATCCACAGCCCTGTGCATGTTCTGTTCCCAGCACTTGGTCATTTTCTAATTTTAAAACATTTTCTTCACTCCAAAAAGTTCTGTACTTATTCTCCCCTTCTCCTAAACTCTGGTACCCATTCCTATTTTTTTTAATGTGGATATACCACATTTTGTTTGTCCATTTGTTGGGTGTTTCCACTTTTAATGCTATGACTAGTGACACGCACGTGTTTGCACGGGAAGATACTGTTAGTTCTCTGGATGCACACACGGGTGGGAGTGCAGGGCCGTGTGGTAACTGAACGTTCTGAGGAGCTGCCGAGCTGTGCACAGTGGCAGTACCATTTCACATCCCGCCACTGATGGAAATTCATCTCAACTTGCCCATGTCCTCAGAAACACTTTTTATTCCTAGTTATTCTTGTAGTTGTGAAATGGCGTTTTACATTGGCATTTCCATCCTGCCCTGTTGGCCGGCTCCCTTCCCCTAGCTCCAAGCAGTCGTCAGGATTTCTGGGTCAGTCAGTGGTCTGTCACTGTAACCAACGGCTGAGTGATCCGCTTATGAGGAGAAAAGATTGGTTTTGGCTCTGATTTGCGGGACTCAGTCCCTTGTGTTAGGTCTGTGGTAGAAGTGCATGATAGAGAAAAAACATGCACCTCATGGCCAGAAGTAAAAGAAAAGAAAGATAGTGGGCCCTGCAGTCTTCCTGGGGCACACCCCCAGTGTCCTAAAGACCTCCCAGTCAAGGCCCTATCTCTTTTTTGTAGCCTTCCACCTCTTAAATGTTCCACCACCTTCTAGTAGCACCACCCTGGGAGCAGCCCACTACCCCATGCTCTTAACGGTTCCTACGATTGGCCTCAGGTTGCTCAGGCTGCCCTGGCCATCAGCTCCCTCACTGGCTCTGCAGCAGCAGATCTGATGGGCCACTCTGTAAAGAATGAGCGCTGTTTCAGTGCTGTCAGCCACTGTTCTTATTCTTCCAGCAACATATGAAAGTAAAGAGCTTGGAAAATGCGGAAAAGAATCCCAAAGCCATCGACACCTGGATTGAAAGCATCTCCGAGCTACACCGGTCCAAGCCCCCAGCAACAGTGCACTATACCCGGTGAGAGTTAATGCGTTCTTTTTCTTTAAGAAAGGATCCTTCTGTATAGCTCAGGCTGGCCTTGAGCTCTTGATCTCCCACCTCTGCCTCCTGGATGCTAGGATTACATACTTGCACCACCATGCCCAGCAAAGATTCCATATCCTCCACCTTCACCACCGTGAGCCTTCGCTCCTGAGGAGAAAGCCAAGAATGGAGGCAAATTTGATCAACTTGAGGTCTTTAAAATTAAAAAAATAGTACTTCTTCACAGTACTTTTTAGAAATTGAAAAGTTGGCAACTGCTGGCACAATTGCAGACATAAAGATTGAGATTTCTCTGGCAGCACGCCTGAGCCAGCTCCTCCAAAGTCCAGGCTCCAAGTAAATGAGTTTTGCCCAGTCTCGGTTCTCCCGGAGTCCTAATGCGGGTGATTGAAGACCTCTCTGGGTCCTAGAATGTCCCAAGCCAGAGGTGCTGACGTCAGTGCTCACATTTATCTCTCTACCTCAGGCCTATGCCTGACATTGACACCCTGATGCAGGAGTGGTCCCCAGACTTTGAAGAACTTTTGGGCAAGGTGAGTGGAAAGTGGCAGGAGGTAAGAAACTTGTGCCATTCATTCCACAGTCCAGGGCCTGGGTTTCTCTTCCTTACATTGAAACTGGTATGTAATGCATGGTCAGATTGCAATGTAGAGGTACCCCAAGCAATGATTCATTTTTGCCAGTTGATACACTTGTGTAAGCAGCATGCGCGATCAGCAAACAACATTCCCAGCATGCTGAGCCCTCCTCCTGGGTAAACCACTGTTCCAATTTCTGTGATTGCTTATTGTTGTACTTCCTCTAAATCTGCACCTACTTTTTTTTTTGGTGCCAGTCCTGGAGCTTGAACTTAGGGCCTGGGCAATGTCCCTGAGCATCTCTGTGCTCAAGGCTAGCGCTCTACCACTTGAGCCACAGCACCACTTTCACCTTTTTCTGTTTATGTGGTGCTGAGGAATTGAACCCAGGGCTTCATGTATGCTAGGCAAGCACTCTACCACTGAGCCACATTCCCAGCCCTGAACCTATTCTTTTTGTCTTCTTTTCTCAACATTATTAGTAATTTCATCCTATTTTGTGTAGTCGTTCATTTGTTTTTGGAAATCGATGGCATTCCATTTTCTTGCAATTGCTACTGTTGTTTTCTTGGTCCCAGGGCTTAATCACAGGGCCCTTATGCTTGCTCAACTTGCTTACTCATAGCTGGAGCTGTACCACTTGATACATGCCTCCATTCTGACTTTGTTAGTTATTTTGGAGATGGAGTCTTATGGTTTGGCCCATGCTAGCTTTGTACTGTGATCTACCAGATCTCAGACTCCTGAGTAGCTAGGATTACAAGCTGATTGAGCCACTGGCCCCCAGCTTGTTTTTTTTGTTTGTTTTTTTGAGACATGGTATTGCTATAACCCAGGCTGGCCTTAAATTCATGATCCTCATGCCTCAGCTTCCTGTATTTTGACATTATAGGTGTGAGCCACCATATGTGGATATTCCATCATTTAATAAACATATGAGTATGAGCTCATCCATTTGATGATGCAGTTTTGTACTTTCCAATAGTGCTATCATGAATATTCTAAATTTCTTTGGTAAATATATGCACTGCCTGAGCTCTCATCTTAGATGTCCTCTCCACAGGAGGTATTTATGCCATAATTACCCTAATTATTATTTCTCCTTTCTTTGTCGTCTTTTTAGTGGTACAAGGAATGGGACCTAGGGCCTCATGTATGCTAGGTGTATGTGTTATCACTGATCTGTACCTAGCCCTGGATTAAGGGATTGGATAATCCATTCAGTAGAACGCTGTTCAGTCAAATAATATTTGTAATATCATCAAATCTAGTATCATTTTGCTCTCATGGGAAGAAATGGCAATGTTATATTGTTAAATTGGAAAAAGCAAATTTGTTTCTTTGTTGTTAAAAAAGAGAAAACCATTATAACTTGTTTCGATTCAAAGCCTCTCATCTGAGTGAGTTGCTGAATCCATTTTCTCTGTTCCTATGGTGTCCCAGGGCCTTGAGGCATTACACCGTCAAGTCACTCAGTGCCTGGACATAAGCCTAGATTTCTCCTTCAGAGGACACACTGAGAGACAGCATCGTAGTGCATTTTACCTTGGAAGCCTTTTGGTCCTGATAGAGCATCCACTACTGTGGTAGTATGACTGACTCCATCTTACTGAAATGAGAGCATCTACTCGTTTGCTAGCACTGCTGTAACAAAGACTCTGTAGCTTAAAAAATAGAATTTGTTTTCTCCCAGTCTGAGTACAGTAAGAAGTCCAAGATCAGGTCTGCAGGGCTGCTTTCTTCTGGGCCCTCTCTGACATCTTCTTGTGTATTCACAGAAGTCACCTGTCTATTCTCAACTCTTGCCAAGATCCTGGAATTAGAGGCCCACATTAATGACCTCATTTCCACTTAGCTGTGTCTATAAAGACGCTATCTCTAAGTACAGTGGTATCCTAGAGTACATGGTGTTAGAACTTCACAGTTGGGGAATTTGAGGGGAAATTCAATTCAACCAAAGCGCATCTTACTGCTAGGAGCGCTCTTCTTTCAGAGAGTGGTGCTGGGCCCACTGAGCCTTGAGCCTTTTGACAGTGGCCCATCCCACGCCCTTGCAGGTGAGCCTGCCCACAGCTGAGATCGACTGCAGCCTGGCTGAGTACATAGACATGATCTGTGGTGAGCAGTCCCGCCCCGCCCCGCCCCGCCCCGCCCTGCCTTGGGGTAGCTGCATCCCTCCTGTAGCGTCTGCGCCTAGCCCCTGCCCCGGCCCCGGCCCCGCTGCGCTGAGGGTGGAATCCAAGCTTACGCGACTAGTTGCTGGTGATGGTTGACCCTCAAGTCCTAGGAACACATCCCATTTGGGAGGCGACTGGCTAGCTTGAGCAGACCCAGACTTGTGTGGTTCTGTTTCTGGAAGTTGTTCTTCATTGCAGCCATCCTAGACATCCCTGTTTACAAGAGTCGGATCCAGTCTCTCCACCTGCTGTTCTCCCTGTACTCAGAATTCAAGAACTCCCAGGTAAGATAAGATCAGGGGCTGACTTTTACTGTGACTCGAGTCACCACACTGTATGGTCCTGGACCTCTGGGATGGTGTCCTGCCAATGGAGGATGTCCCTGCCTGGGCGGCCGTGCCCGCCCCATGGCTGAGCAAGCACAGGAGGCGCGGTGCCCTGGCAGCGCTCACTGAGGGGAGCTCTCAAGGTGGCCTTGTGAATGGAAGCAGGAACGAAGGGGGTTGCTCTTCTTTAAAGGGGGTGAGGCAAAGTATATATTTCTAGTTTGGAAGCAGAACTGGGGAAAAAAACTGAATCAGAAAGTGTGTTCTTTTTTTTTTTTGGGGGGGGGGTCAGTTGTGAGTCTTGATCTCTGGGCCTGGGCACTGTCCCTGAGCTCTTCAGCTCAAGGCAAGCGCTCTACCACTTGAGCCACAGTGCCACTTCTGGTTTTCTGGTGGTTAATTGGAGATAAGAGTCTCATAGACTTTCTTGCCCAGGCTGGCTTTGAACCACGATCCTCAGACCTCAGCCTCCTGAATAGCTAGGAGTACAGGCATCGTGAGCCACCTGCGCCTGGCCATAAAGTATATTTTCTGGTGCCACTAGTGAGGCTTGAACTCAGGGCCTGGTCCTTGTGCTTTTATGCGGGGGCGAGGAGGATCAGCCATGGGGCTTGAACTCAGTGTCTGGGTGCTGTCCCTGAGCTCGTTTGCTCAAGATCTACTACTTTGAGCCATAGCTCCACTTCCACTTCCAGTTTTTGAGTGGTTAATTGGAGATAAGAGTCTCATGGTAACTTTTCTGCCCTGGCTTCAAACCATGGTCCTCAGATTAAGTCTTCTGAGTAGGGAGGGAAGATTACAGGCGTGAGCCACCTAGGTTTTCTGATGAAGGCTGGCACTCTACCACTTGAGCCACAACTCCTGGGTGACTGGCTAATTGGCGATAAGAGTCTCACAGATCTTTCTGCTTTGAACTACAATTCTCAGACCTCAGCTTGAATAGCTAGGATGATAGCTGTGAGCCATCGGGTGTGGCTCCACAGGTTTATAAAGAGGTAGTAAATGTAGCAAGTAGAATGTGGCAACTGGAATTTATCCTAGAGCTATCTGTTCCCTCTCCCCTTCTCACAGCATTTTAAAGCTCTGGCTGAAGGCAAGAAAGTATTCACCCCTCCATCCAACTCCACCTCCCAAGCTGGAGATGTAGAGACGCTAACCCTCAGCTAAGCCTTCCCGGGCTCAGCTTCAAGCAGGGGCAGAGAGATCCTTGTCAGCCTCCTGGCGCCTGCTGTTCCGCACCTGGGCCCGGCCGTACCTCTTCCTGTCTCAGAGCACAACGTTTCTGAACTGCTGACTCCGCCTGTCTCCGACTGCCTTCCCCCAGGAGTTGCTCACCCATTCCTCCGTCAGAACAAGGACCAGATTGCTGAGACCCGCAGAGCATGGGTCAGAAGGAAAGATGCTTTCTTAGGGATATAGAGTTATTTTGTTTCACTCCTGAAGTTTGTTAGCAACTGTTTTACAAATAAAAATGCTCTGTCGGGTTGTGATGGCATGTTGTTGGTTTTCATCTAGTTTCTGACTCGTTACTTTCCTAAGTGACTACAATAACGTTGAGGGGCTTTGGACCTCCAAAGCAGGCCTCCGAGATAGTCATGATGAGGCGTACCTATAATCCAACACCTGGAAGGCTGAAGCAGTAGAATCATGGAGTCTAGCCTGGGTTACGTAGTGAGACCCTGTCTCCAAGTCTCCAAAAATAAGAACAGGATTCCTAGAGCTTCCAGAATAGTTAGATATGTGGAAGCTCTTTCTAGGAGCTTCCTAGAAGATGGCAGGCCTAGAGAGGACGGGAGGCTTGCCGCTTCCCCTCGCGCACTCATCCCTCCTTCACATCTCATGCTCTCACCCCATGCATCCCTGTCCTTTGTAATGTCCTTTGCCATAAGCCAGCAGTGGCTCTCAGGGCTGTCAGCCGCTCACACTAATGAGTGAAACTCAAGGAGGGGTGATGGGAACTCCATCAATTTCTGGTGGATCAGAACGCAGGTTAAACAACCTGGACCTAGCATCTGAAGTCAGAGCAAGGGAAACAGTCTGAGAGCTACCTCGCAGTAGCAGAACTGAGCCGGTTCAGGGGCCATCCAGCTGGGGAACTGATGGCTTTCTGTTTGAAAGAACCACTTCTCTCCTGAAATTTACTTTGGCCAGGATGGGAGGGCTCTCTCTCTGCTTGCTCACAGGCCACCCACCTGCCAGCTGCAGCCCTGTCTGTTGTGGCCCCAGGAGCCTGGCTATTGCAGTAATCCAAGTGGGAGATGACAGTGGCTTGGAATAGGTGGACAAATTCAAGGAATATTTTGGGGTGCATCAGCTATGCTCCCTTCAGGAAGCCTGCAGCCATGCTAGTTGTGTCTCACAAAGGCTGTTCAACGTGGAAAACTGGCTATAGAGATGCCGGAGGATTCCAAAGGCACAAGAGAGTCAAGAGGGGCAGAGATGATGCTAACGTGCTACACTGTCAGCCTACTCTATACACAGGGAACACACCGAGAGAGGAGGCGTTCCTTACAAACCCATTGACTTTAAAAAGGATAAATTTAAAAATGTTTTTGAAGAAATGAAGCAGAGACATCATCTTCATGTTTGAGTTTACTGTGCTCAGCACTGTCCTGGGCAATAATGTGAGAACAATTACAAAACAAGAGAGCAACAAGGGAAAAATATACTCTGCACTCTGTTATTCAAGCACTTCCATGTTGCTTCTTAAAGCATTCTGAGGTCATTTGGGGGTATCTGGTCTCCCTCTTTCTCCATGTCCCTCTATCTCTGCTTACAACCAACCCCGAAAGAACACGATGGGGCAGGCCGGGGGCTTCCGGCTGATGTGGGGCTGGGGTCCGTGGGAGGGAGACATGCTGAGAGGGAAACCATCAATCCTGAGAACTCGGGACACAGTGAATCACAGGAAACTTGGGGAAGCCAGCGGGGCTCCAGGCCCTCGCACCCCGTCCCCTAGGGGATGTGCTTAAAGTGCTAACAAGAAAAAAGGATGCATAGCTTCATGCTACCCTGGATGCCACCACACTAGTCACCTCTCCCTCCCCAACACCATGGGTGCAGGGCCAAGGGGGCTTCCAGAGCCCAGCCAGGAGGAGGCCCAGGGCGTAGAGGCCCAAGAGGAGGTGGGGCACAGGTGGGAAAGGGCAGAGGTGTGCAGCAAAGGGGCTCCTTTGTGCTTGCCAACGGCCCCAGGGCCTAGGCTGTTCCTGTGCAGCTAGTTGGGGACTACATTTTCCCTGAGGGAACGAAGCTACATAGTGTCGGAAGGACACGCAGGGCCCTCTTTGTCCCTCAAGCCGGCAGGCAGCCTCCGGGCCTCCTGTACAGGTGCCGAGGAGTCCGTGTGGGCACCTAGCAGCCTACACCATACAGGTGACACCGAAACTCACCTGGCCAGCGTCCACTGCCTGGGCCTAGGCACCAGGAAGCGCAAAGGACCAAGTTCTGGTTGGCAGTCCTGCCTCGTGCATCAGATCCCAGCGCAACCGCAACGTCCCACGCGCAGCTCCCGGGGGACTCCTTGTGGGAGTGCCAGCAGGCGGCTGCAGCACGGGCCTCTTCGTGCTGGCAACCCAGTGGGGCAGGGGGTGGCTGGGGGTGCCCAGGGGCAGCGCTCCCGTCTCCCCCACGCAGCTCACAGCCAGATCTCATCACTGCTCACGCTGGACACTCGGTAGATGTAGCCCAGCATGGGCAGGCGGATGAAGCCTGCGGGGTCAAAGTTCCCCCAGAGGGCTCACCTTGAGGGGCCTGTCCCCTAGCCTCAGGCTGCTTTCACTACATAGGCAGAGAGGCAAGGGGCCCCTTCCTCCCGCGTACCTCGGCTGGTGAGAAGGCCCCCAGTCTCAGCTTCCAGAAGCTCTGGCCGGCTGCTGTTCCGAGCCACTGGTTGTTCTACTGGTTTCCCTGCTGGGGGACCGTGTGTGTGTTGGGCGGGGGAAGGGGAATGGAGATATACCCAGGATGAGGGCTGTGCCCAGGGGCGCCCAGTCCCTTCCTCCTAAGTTCCAGAGCCTTTTCAGAAGCTCTTCTGAAGATAAAGCATGGGCAAAGAGCAGGGTCCTACATGTACCTCGGGGATCGGCAGTGAGGTCGTTGAGCTGAAGGTTGGACGGGAGGGACATGTTCTCCCGCGGCAGGCGCACATTGTTGAGTTTCAGGTTGTTGGAGTCACTATGGGGTGGCACAGTGCTTTGATGCTCTGTGGCCTACCTCCTCAGACCTCTCAGAACCCCACGTTTCCTCACGCCTCCCTCCACCCAGCACCAGGAAGAATTACCTAGAGATCAGAGATGGGCGTCGGGAAGGGCCTGAGGACAGAGACATTATGCTAATGAGGACAAAGAAATTATGCTAATGAGTCACTGAGTCCGCTCCCGCTGGGCTCTGCCCCCCATATTCCCTCTCAGGCCTGGGACCCTCAGGCAACAGGGGTCTCTCAAACGCCCAGCCCTCGCTCTAGGATCAGAGATGGGTTCCAGTGCTTTCTCCTGCTACCCATAGCCTTGCCACAGCCACCCCCTGCAGCTGCTCCACACGGTCAGAGATGACGTGGGCCCAGCTCCGCCTGCCACCCTTGCTGCCTCCCAACCCTGCCTCCGTCCTCCAGCCACCCTCGGCCCCAGCGCCTGGCCCTACCTTTGATTTTCTTTTCTTTCCTGCAGACCAGGCAGGCCACCAAGGTGCTGAAGCCCACGAGGGTGCCCAGGGCAAGCCCTCCGGCCACAACGATGCCCAGCAGCGGCACCTCCACCCGGGCGGCCCAGAGTCCTGCAGGGTGCCCGCCAGTTAGGCTCCAAATGCGTAGGACCCCAACCCTTCCGTGTCACAGGTGACAGACAACCTGGCCCTTCCTGCCCAAGGAAGCTGGGCCAGCTTATTCACAAGGCCCGCTCAGTGGCCACCAAATTCTCCTGTTTCTGTGCTGTGATCCCCACGTGCACCCGCGGGTTCGCTGGACCAGCTGCCCGTGCTGCTCACCTGGAGCTGGAAGCGAGGCGCTCGTGACACCCACGTCATTGGTGGCCACCACCGAGAGATTGTGTGGCAGGCTGCGGAGCTGCAGCTGCACAGTGTGGTTGGTGAGCCAGGGGTAGTTCTGAGCATCCAGCACCAGGAAGTCAGAGGTGTTGACAGTCACTGGTCCATCTTGGTCAATCCAGGTGACATTGGCAGGTGGGTTGGCACGCACCAAAGCAAACAAGACAACCAGGAGGCCTGGGTCCTGAGCCTCCGGATACTTGGCTCCAACCTGGGCAATCTCCGGCTTAACTAGGGCAGAGCAGAGGCAATCCACTCTCAGCACAGCCCCTCCTACTCGGGCATTTCTTCCCCAACTGGGTGGGAGAAGGGAGTCCGGAGCCTTTTACAAGTGAACACCAAAGAACAGGACGGCTGGGCTTGCTACCGAGACGACCTCTCACAATAATTAAGAATATAAATCCAGGTAAGAGTCCGGATTCACAGCCTGGCCTTGCTTCTTATCCCATGCGTCCTTGGGCAGACTGCTTGACCTCTTTATGTCTCATTTTACTCCTTTGTAATATAAGCCAGTGGCTCATGCCTGTAATCTTAGCTACTCAGGAGACTAAGATCTGAGCAGTGAGGTTCAATGCCAGCCCAGGACAGACAAACCCAAGAGACTCTTCATCTCCAATTAATAGAAAAAAGTAGGGGTGTAGCTCAAATGGCAGAATGCTAGTTATAAGCCAAAAAGCCAAGGGAGAGCTCAAGTCCTGAGTTCAAGTCCCAATACTGTGCACACCCCACCCCTCCCCTGCACACACACAGAGGAAATTCCCTCATAGGGTCAGTGTGAGGGAAAAGACAGTTACTCTTTGTAAGGCATCTTAAGTGTTTGCTAAATGCCCTGCTCAAGTTGGGCATCCTGGCAATGCGTGTAATCTGAGCCTGTGAGAGGCTGGGGCAAAGGAGGATTGGGAGCTTGAAGCCAATTGGCCTAAATGGGGAGAGTCTACCTGAAAAAACAACAACTAAAAGTCCCGCTGAACACCGGCTTTCCGGCTGCCGAGACTCCAGAGGTACTCACACTGTACGTTGAGGATGACAGAGGCGTTAGCTGACCGGCCGCGGCCTGGGTCCTGCAGGGAGCAGTTGAGCTCGTGCTGGGCCCGCTGAGCAGTGACAGTAAAGGTGCTGGTACCTCCGGAGAAGGCCTCCCCACCCACACTGACAAGTCTTGAGGTGGTGGCTTCCTGGAGCCGTCCGTCCAGGTACCAGGCCAGTCGAGGCGTGCCAGGACCTGCCACCCGGCAGGTGAAGGCGTGGCGTTCATTCTCCCGAAGTGCCCGCTCTGCCCAGGTCTGACCATCAATTTGTGGTGCCAGTTCCCCCCAACCTGGAACATAGCAGGTGGTCTCTGGGAAGGGCTGGGGAAGGTGGGTTCTGCTCTGTGACCAGGATGAGGTTCAGTTACAGAAGGGCGGCATGCCAAAAGACAGGGCAGCTCAGTTCTCTCAGCTGACCCTAGGCTAGGGAGGGGCGGGAGGGGAGGCTCGGCCCTCGGGGCCCGGCGTGGGTAGGCACCCCGAGGGAAGACGCAGGCAGAAGGCACCAAAGGGACTCTGGCTCTCACAAGCACTTAACCAAGGAACGAACAGGGGGGTACCTGAGCCCAGAAGGACTGGCAGGAGCAGCAGCGCGCGCGGGAGCGTGGCTGGGCCCGCAGGCGGCCGCATGGCGGCGGGCCAGGGCCTGGGATCCAGGCTGCGGCGAGCAGGCTGGCCTTACAATCCTCCCGGGAACCGGGGATGTACACGGGCTCGCCGAGGCCACGGAGCAGCCAAGTTGAAAGGCACCGACCCACCCCGCACGCCCGCACGCCCGCACGCCTGCACGCGCGGCGGGCGCCGCACTCAGCCCCGGCTGCGGGGGACGCCGGCCGCGCCGGGCTGCGCGCGCACAGTCGGCCTACACGCCCCCTGCCCCCAACAGGTCGCCCTTCCTCCGACCCCGGCCCCTCTCCTGCCCTCTCCCCTCCCTCGCCATAGGCCCCTTTTCCAATCCTGACGGCCGTGGGCCGAGGAGGAGGCTCTGGCGGAGGTGGGTGCCAGGCGGGGGGTGTCACCGCAGCATCCCGGCGGCTCACCTGGCGCCCTCGGGGAGCAACTGCTCAGGTCTGCCGGGCGCCGCAGTCCCTGACCAGGGCGGGGTCTGCGCCAGGCAGGACCAATAGATGCCCGTCCGGCTGCCCCGGCGGGGCCGCGCGCGCTGCGGTGTGCGCGGGGCGCGAGGGCGGACACACAGAGGACGCAGTCGGTCGGCGAGGCCTCGCAGCTTTATTGGCTCAGGGTCCCCTCCCGTCCCCCCCGCCCGCCCCCTAGTGCTCAGCGTCCGTTGCGGGGGCCGCACAGCTGCCCCATCATGTCGGCCAGCATGCGGTTGCACAGCGCGGCGTAAGGGTTGAGCAGCACCAGCTGGCGCCGCGCGAAGGGGCTGCCCAGCCGCGCCGCCCGCTCGAAGTCCCTGCGGGCATCTTCGTCCCGGCCCTGCAGCCGCGCCAGCAGCCCGCGCTGCACGAAGGCCTGGCGGGCGGCGCGGCCGCGGCCGCCGCTCAGCTCCAGGGCGCGCTCCAGGTCCTCCAGGGCGCCTGCGCGGAGGGGGGGGGAGTGAGGCGGGATCAGCGGCGCGCTCCCGACGCCCGGGCCCCGCCCACCTGTCATTCAGGACCCCCGGAGGCTCTCGGGAGATTTTTATCCCTCCCCCGCCACACACCCCCCAGCACGGAGCCGACATTTGGGACTTGGGGAAGGGACCGCTTCTCCCATTACACTGGTCTAGGTGGAAGGGCGGAGGCTTGCCCTTGGCTTCACAGACAGTTGCAGAGCTGCCCCCAAAGCCTAGGACTTGCGTGGTTCACCACGACATGAGCCTTCCCGCCCGCCAGTGGTTCACGCCTATAGTTCTAGCTGCTCAGGAGACTTGAGACCTAGAGGATTGTGGTTTGAGGCCATCTCAGGCAGGAAAACGTCCACTAGACTCCCATCTCCAAAATAAATAGCAAAAAGCTGGGCTGGGTGTGTGGGTTAAGTGGTAAGAGCCTCAGCCTAGCAAGTACAAGGCCCCAGGTACAAACTCTTAGTACCCAGGTGTTTATAGCTCATCCTTGTGATCCTGCTTACTCAGGAGGCTGAGATTTGGAGGATCTTGCTTTGAAGGCAGAAAAGCCCAAGTGACTGTCGTCAGTTAACCAACAAAATACCAGACTTCAGGCACAGATTAAATGGTAGAGTGCTGGCTGTGAACAAAAAGCTGGACAAGAGTGCAAGTCCCTTAGTTCAATCCCCACCACCAGAACGTGCGTGCAAACACACACACACGCACACAGTACCTTCAAACACCAAAAAAAAAACAAGAAGGGAAGGTTGCTGGGAGGACTGAATGATCACAGTATTGATTCTGGCCCATTGTCTCTGCTATTCCACAGAGAAGTTACTAAGTATAAATCCTGTGTCAGGGCCTTACTCTGAATCCCAGGGACCAATGTATCTATCAGCTATAAAAGCACTTTCTCAACTCTTCCTTTCTGAGGGCTCTCCCCTCCCCCCTTCCTTCCATTGCATTATTTAGAACTGCTCTCTGCTGTTTACTGAGCTCGCTACCTTTCCTCATTCTCTATCATCTTCAGTATTGTGTATCTCATTTCTTTGGAAGGAGGTTCCGGTGCCAGTTTCCCAGCTTCATTTTTATGATCCTTATATAATACAAAAGAGTTGGGTTGGGATTCTGAGCTCTGAACTCAGAACCTCAGGCAGCTAGTTGGAGTCTAGCTGCTTTCTCTTGGGCTCTGCTTCACACTCATTCGAGGCTCCTAGAGAGTGCCACAGGGGCCTTGGGAGCTCAGCCCCGTCCTGGAGCAAGACTGAGTGTCACAATTCCAGGACTTGGTTCCCAGAACTGACACCAGCTGTGCTCCTCACCCCACCCAGGCTTCTGATGGGGAAGCCCTCAGACTGTGGTGTTGCTCAGTTTCCCTCTGCAGAGCTGGTCTGGAGGAGCTTTCTAGATGGAGTCAACCTGTTCCACTCGGGAGTTTTGCTTTGCAAGCTGACTTCAGCACAGGGCAGGCCAGCCTGGAAAGGGCTTTGGAGGATTCTCTGTTGTCCCAGAATGGAGTCCAGACTCTCTGGTTGGCATTTTTGGTTCCAGAAACACTAATCCTGTTACCTCATTCCCCATTAGGTGTCTGTGGGTTCCATCTTCCCATCAGCCTGGCTCATTGCACCATGCTTTCCCGTGCCAGCCAGCTTATCTTCAGTGTAGTAGGTTTGACCCAGTTACCCTACCTCTGAAACTTCTAGGTACATGTTTTCGAGAGGCCAACCTGAGCTGGGGGCTGGGGGCTCATGCCTGTAATCCTAGCTATATTTAGGAGGCTCAGATCTGAGGATCATGGTTTGAAGAGCAGTCTGGGCAGAAAACTCCATGAGACTATCTCCAATTAACCAGCAAGAAACCAGAAGGGGTTCAAGTGGTAGAAGACTAGCCTTGAGTGAAAAAGCTGAGCAAGAGTGTGAGGCTCTGAGTTCAAGCCTCAGTACAGGTGTGTATACACACACACACACACACACACACACGTCCAATCTCTGATACACTGAGTTCATTGCCACCTGGCCCTGCCCACCTCTGTGAGCTCACTTCCCAATCTTTTCATGCTGCCCACCTGCTCCAGGAGCAGCTCTTATACTGCCCCCCTCATGCCCATCAACTCATTATGTTCTGCTCTGAACTATGACCAACCCCAAGAGCAGGATCATGTGGATTAAGAGTGCTACCACCTGGCTTAAATCCCAGCTCTGTCCCTTCTGGGCTGGAGGAGCCTGAGCACACTTAACCTTCGCATGCTTCGGTTTCTGCATCTTTAACATGGATAACACTAGATATGACTTTTCAGGTTGTTTCTATGGCTCATATGTAAAGCATTTAATGCATAACAAATAGGAACTACTATGTAAATGTCAGCTGTAGGCAGTGCATTTCTTATCTTTGTGTCCTCTGCCCTAGCCCACTGCTATTCCATAGGCTTTCATCAGATATTCCTTAAACGAATGGATTACAGTATCTTCTTTCACAGTCTCCCACAAGTTAGCAGGGCCCACTCCAAATCCCAGGCTCTCATCCCCCACGCCCTTGCTCTGCACCAGCTCATCTCAGTGCCCTTGAGAGACACTTTCTGCAGAGCTTCCCAGGTGTGTCCCCTCACCTGCCACATCTCCACGGAGCCGCTTGGCCTGCGCTCGGTTGTTGTAGGCAGAAGCTCTCTCCGGCAGCAGGCAGATGGCCTGGCCAAACTTCTCCAGGGCTGTGCTGAGGTCACCCGCCTCTGCTGCCATCACCCCCTGCAGCTCCAGGACTTTAGACTGCTCCAGTTGTGCTTGAGGGAAAACTCCATCTGCACAAGGGGGTAAGGGGAGCGCACACAGGCCAGAGGGACCCAGGAATGAGGATGGAATCCTGGGAGCTGAGCCAGCCCAGTGTGGACCATGGCAGGGGTGAGTGGCAGCGTGTGGGTAAGAAACACTGAGCTCAAGGCGAGGAGCTAACACTACTACCTAAGGCCCAAAGGAATTTGGAAAAGGGCCCTGGGACTCCTCCTGGCCAACAGTAGTCCAAACTCGTTCCTAGGTCAATAACGTAGTCAAGGTCACAGTCTTTAAGTTCTACGTTGGAAGCTTTCGTCTTCCTGGCTCTACATTGAGCTGGTTCTCATTTTACTGCACTACTCTGTCCCCTAAAGGCCACCATGACATTCCTAGGGTGTGAAAAGCCCCCCCAGATGTATTCCTCAGCCTTTCAGCCTGTAGTTTCAGTGAGGCTTGAGTATCACCTGTCTAGAAACAAGGGCATCCTCCACTAGGGGTCGCTGCTGAGCGTGCTTCCTCTGCAGAAGGAAGTTCAGGGCTGACCTTGTTATAATAGTGTAAATAAATGGCAGCTCTGGGGGCTAGGCCAAGACTAGTCAACTGAGCCACTATCCCCTTACCCCGTTTGTCCTCCATTCTGTGGGAGATAACATTGTTTTGACAAAGGTTTCAGAGTTTAACATCACCCAACAGTGAGGCTTTGGCACCTGCTGGCAGAACGTCTCTTGCCAACCCCGCACTGCACTGTACACTCAACACGAGCCAGCCTCCAACTCTGATGTCAGTAACCCAGCTGGGAGGAAGCAGCAGCCTTGGTCCCTTCCTGCTTGGTGCCCGTATGCAGAGCCACAGGCCAAGGTCAAAGGCTCACCTTCATCTTCATCCTTCTCTGCTTCATCTCCCAGGTCCAATCCCACTACATCTCCAAAGGGGGTGTCAGGGTTGAAGATGGCTTGCAACACTGCCTGATCATTCGGAGTCCCCATGGTGCTCCCGAATGAAGTCCGGAGAGGGGATTGAGGACAAAAGAGGCAGGGTGCTGGGGTGGGGTCACAGTGCCCCACAGGTAGCTGATTTTAGAGGAGGAGATTCTGTTTGGGGACCTCCTCCCCAGAAGTGCCTCCCATTCCTTGGCTCTAGTGTAAGTTCAACCTCTGTGATTGGGGTTAGTGTCCTTGGCTTAGCAGAATATTTGCAATGATTTCTCAACTGAACCCATGCTCTTACCAAAATAAACAGATCCAGTCTCAGCCTTAAGGTGGAAGGTACTGGAATGTTTTTGTCAGTCAGTTTAGAAGTCATAGCTTGACTTTCCCTGGATAAAGTGGGGATGAAGCTGGGCGCTGTTGGCTCAGACCTGTAATCCTAGCTACTCAGGAGGCTGAGATCTGAGGATCTAGGTTCAAAGCCAGCCTGGGCAGGAACATCATGAGACTCTTATCGCCAATGAACCACCAGAAAACTGGAAGTGGTGCTGTGGCTCAAGTGGTAGAGCAGTAGCCTTGAGCTGAAGAGTTGAGGGACAGTGCCCAAGCCCAGAGTTCAAGCCCCACAACCGACAAAAAAATAAAAATAAAGGGATGAAGGGCGAAGGGAACGATTCCTCTGTCCTCTTGACCCTTTCCTCACATCCAGCATGTTGGATCCTGAATACAGGTCACTGCTGAGTGAAGGGAAGAAATCCAGGTTAAGGCAGCCAGGAAGCAGTGGGACCAAAAGGCGGCCACAGGGAGTGCACTTTGTGAGTCTATCTTTTCGTTGTTGTGCTGATAATGGGACTTGAACTCAGGGCCTGTTACTCTCACTCAGCTTTTTGTTTTTTTCACTCACAGTGGGCACTCTACCACTTGAGCCACACCTCCACTTCCAGTTTTTTGTTGATGAGTCTCATGCACTTTCCTGCCTGAGCTGCCTTCAAACCTTGATCCTCAGATCTCAGCCTCCTGAGTAGCTAAGGATTACAGGCATGAGTCACCAGAGCCTAACTCGTAATTCCATCTTAAAAGGCTGTACTGTAAAGTATTTTGAAACCTTGACAGAGGCAATGCCCCTCCCCATTGCCGCCCCTGACAAGGCCAGAAGGAAGCGCGACCATTTGCAGCAATAAACTTGACATGTTTATTAATTAAACTATCACTTAAATAAAAAAAAGTGCATAGAAAATAAACATGTTTAAAAACTCCTTTTTTTTTTTACAACTATGTACACTTTTTACTTTTACATTCAGTCTTTCGTAGAGAGCTTTCAGCATTATTATTTTTTGAACTATTAAAGTATTTTCCTTCATCCCTGTCACAGGGAGTTAACACTGATGGACTTACAAACATTTTCCTCTTTTTCTTTTTTTTTTCTTTCTCTTTTTCTCTAACCAGAAGCTTGGAAGAACACAGGAAAAAAAAACTCAAAGGATCTGTTATACATGATAAAGTTGTCGAGAAATGTCTTATTTCTAGAAGCTTGTCGTCTGTTGATCTTGAAACAATTATTCAACTACCTGTATTTACTAAAGAGACTGTTAAAAGTTCAATAAAAGAAACACCACAAATCTATTTTCTTGGTTGAAAGACAGAACTAGAGTACCTCAGAACAAGATACCAGGAAAGCACAGAACACAAGTTTCCCCTAAATGCAGGTGGTAACCCCAACATTCATAACCAAAAGTAGAGAAACAAAGAGTACAGGTACTGACTGGCAACATTGACGAGCAGGAAAAATCCAGGTGACACCATTTCCGCATTGCTCTCTGGGAGAATGGTGGATTTTGCCAACCCCCCTGTGGCTTGGGGTCCCCCGATGTGAAAATCAGAGGAACGCTAGCCTGACATTTTCCTGCTCTGCTAGCAACTGTAACACAATCCTTATCTATAGTGTTAAAGAGAATTAAAAGCCATGGACTGAACTAGGCTTTGTTACATGGTGCATTACTATATTAGTTCCTATATATATCATATTTATATTTATTTGAAAACCAAAACAAACAAAAAAGTTGCAAGTTTTCAGAGTGTGAGACTTGACTTATATTCATGATTCGGCACAAAACCATCTGCTCAATAACCTTGTATTGCTTTTAAAATGAAGGAAGTGAAAACACAAAATTACACCCAGCCCTTTGCAATGACCCGCTTTTCCTTAAAAAACAAGTTGATTTCTATGAAAAAGAATCCCAAATCAAACTTAACATCTGACAAGGTTTTTGACCTTTAGTATTTTCAGATAATTGTTTGAACGTCAGTCCTTTAGAAAGATACATTCATTAAAAGATGGTGTGTGTGTGTGTGTGCGTGTGTGTTGTTATATAAGGTTTTTTTAAATCAAGGTGACTGCATGGTGCTCACTGCGTTGGCCGGGGGGGTTGTCAGGGTGGTGGTAAGCTGGGACCTGGTAAAGGAGCCTGGTTCAAAACACAGCTGCAGGGGTGTCCCTGCTCACTGCTACTGACCTAAGAATGGGGGAGGGAAGCCACGGGGGGGGGAGGGAGGAACCAGGGGACCAGGTTCCGGCCAAGGGGTCAACGCCATGCAGCTATACTGGCCACACAGCTGTCACGGAGCCACCAGAAAGTGCAGCCACAACAGGTTCTAGCAGCAAAGCGGTACTTGAGCTGGCTCTGAGAACTGACCAGGCTCGAGCTGTACTCCTTGGGATCTGGGATGCCCCTCAGGGGGGACTCCTGGGAATGACCACCCCCCACCCCCCCGATTCCTCAGTCAGCACTTTGGTGCGGAGGGTCCCTTGGTCACTTTCAAAACAGACATAGTTTTCAGACACAGTTTTGGAGACAGCCAGGCCATTTTTGCCTTCTTCCCCTCTTCCTAGGGAAACCTTAGTTTGTCCCCCGAGTTGCTGGCAGGTATGCTGATTTTGGCAATGGACTCAAGGCTGAGCTGCGAGAGGGAGTTTTCTCCTTTCTGTGGGTGACAGTCGGGTGAGAAGGCAAGGCAAACCGTTCTGCAGCTGGCAGGGGAGGCAGAGTGTGCTCCTCCCCCGCCCTCGGGGCGTGGGTATGGACAGAGGGTGAGGGCTCACAGTACAGCTGGCCTAGCAGGGCAGTGACTAGGTCTGTTTAGCTGAGTTTCCCCACCCTCGGGCTGGCCTCTGGGTCTTTCTCACGGTGAATTCACGACCCATCAGTGCATTAATCATTTCAGTAACAAATGCAGCTTAAGTTTTTTTTTTTTCATTAAAAAAAATAGGAATACAAGGATTTACCAAAAAAACCTCACACAGTGCAATAATAAAGTGAACGAGACGCGCATGGGACCCCTCGGGCCAGCGCATCTCGTTCCTGGGCAGAGGAGGACGGGAGGTGAGGGCTGGGTAGGCTGCTGCCCAGTCCCCTGCTGGCACTTCGCCACGACGGCAAGGAAGCCTCTGCCGCCCTGGCCACAGTGCTGGGCTCCCTGCATGACAGCGGCGACAGCGACAAGGGTCCAGCAAAGCCACCAGACCAAGTCCTTAAGGTCTTGGGAGACAAGGGAGCCCAGGATGGAAGGCACCGCAGAGCCGGGAGTCCTGGGGCAGAGTGCTGGGCTGAGTCGTATTGCTTTGCTAGACTTGCAGAGGAATGGGCGAGAAAAGGGCGCCCCCCCCCGCCCGCCGTGGACTTCACCGCTGGGCGACGCCGCGCGGCGCGGGGTCTGCTTTTTCGTGAGCGGTCGCACTGTGCTTCAGTTTCAACAGGCCGCCCCGAAAGAGGGCACAGGGGGTCAGCGGGTTCTTTGCGGATCTGAGGACTTGGGGGGCAGAGGGAAAGGAAAGAAAAAGGAAATGATCTATGAGACAGATGGTGATGGAGGATGTCAAGGTGCCACGGAACTGGTTGGCTGCTAACTCTGAAGTAAGGCAAGATGAGGGAAACGCGCGCGGAGCAGCGCCAGCGGCGAGGCCGGGCGGCGTGGGAAGGAAGAAACTGGCGAGTGGAGATCCTCGGGGAGCCGTGGGAGGAGGGGCTTCCTCGGGAAAGGGCGGAGCGGCCTAATGGAGCTGAGTGATCTTCCTTCAAGAACCCACCAGAGAACACGGGGCACGAACGAGCTACATGTGAAACAAGGAAAAGCCCACCTTCCAGGGGAGCTGGCGGGAAACCAGACTCTGTGTGTACAGCTGAATATTTCCTCTAACTTCATCCTATGAAAATAAAAAATTATTAAAAACCGATTTTCTTTTAAATTAGGATAATACCGCGGTTTAAAAAATAGCCTTGTCATAAGTGCTTCTCCCTATGAAGTGCTTCTCATAGAAAAATATACAAAATATATTTACATTTATAAAACCTTAAATAGTAAACTGTAAACAGAACAGAGTAAAATCCAATGACTTAATTTAACAGGTTCAAGACACTCACTGTCTTGGGGGAAGGAAGAGAAAAACACTGGAGGCTGCGTGAGCGCACCCGCGCAGGCGCAGTAGTGTCATGGAGTTCGCTTCAGCCGCGGCTGCGCGCTGGCAGCGGCGGCCCCTCCACACCCCGCGGTCTAGTCCCCAAGTGCTGGGCCTTGAAATGATTAGTGTTCTGCCTTCAACTAGACATTGACTATTTAAAAACTAAGTCTTCCTATGTCTTAAAGAGGGGAAAGAAGGTTCCCGTGTCCTAGGAAGGGAGGGGCGCAGGGGTTCTCCTGGTTATGGTACTCTGGTGGTTGCATGATTCAAATCCTATTGAAACAATCTGTATCCTCTTCTAAAAAAATCATGCTACATATATTTCTTCAGAACTCTCAGGGGAGAGTTGCACAACGTCTTCAAATTCTGTCTGGTTCTGGCTAGCGGCTCCTGTCCACTTCCCCCCTGGAGTGCTTGCAGCTCGGGGACCTTCGCGTAGGCAGGCCCTGCGCCCACCGGCGAGTGCCCCTGAGCGGGGAGTCAGCCCCCTACCACCCAGGAAGCAGGATGGGAAAGCAGTGGGATGGAGGACAGGAAGGAAGGCGGAGTGAAGAGAAGAATGGCAGAGGAAAGCCGCTCCTATGGTCAAGAAGGTGATTGGCTGAGATAAGGCTCACAGGGATTAAGTACTCCCACTTCCGGCCCACAGGCTCAATGTTTGGTAATTAATTGGCACAACCCCAAGACAGCCTTTTGACACCAGAGGTGCCAGGAATCCTGTCTCCCAGCTGGAGGTGAACGCTCTCAAGGAAAGGCGAGCAGGGAAAACCACCAGACCGCTGTCTGTTCAACAGATGGCCACAGGCAGGGCCTGGCTGGCAGACTAGCAGGCTGTGTCCAGTCAGCCCGGATCTCAGTCCTGCCTGACCCTCGGCTCCGAGAGCCTGGGGAAGAGCTGAGGTGAGGAAGACAACTGCTCTTGGAGGAATGCTCAGGCCCCACCTCCCAAGAAAACCAAGCCTCGCGAGGCTCCTTCCAGGCACATGGCCCAGGACCTAGTTCCCCAGCAAGCTTAACAGCTGACAGTCAAGAGGGGTCCTCCAAGAAAGCCCGTCATGGATCTTTCTTTGAGACCTCATTTCTAAGACTCTGACCACATGTATGACATGGATATGGACAATAGGGGGCTCGGCCACAGAGGCGCCTCCACCAGCCCGCTTGGTCCTGGCGCAAGGCCTCCAGCACTGCTTTGGGTGGCCCTGGGTGCTGGTACTTGGGCCCGGGGGAAAGAGCAGCGTTAGTTCAGGAACTTGCGGCATTTCTTAGCGCCGCAGTTGCAGGGCAGCTTGTTGCTGGCGTCCTCGATGGGGAACTTGTAGTCGTAGGTGAGCTCCTCGCCCCGGTAGATCTTGCGCATGGCGAAGATGACGATGTGCTTCTGCCCATCGATGTTGATGACGCGTGAGTAGCAGTTGGGCTCACACGAGTGATTGATGAAGCGCGCGGCGTTCCCATGCATGGTGGCATCCACTACTTCCGAGTCGTCAATGCGGAACATGTAGCAGCCGATGCCCTACACATGAAGAAGAAGAACTGGCTATTTGCTTAGTAACTTTAGGTGCTGGGGATGGAACCCCAAAGTCAAGAGATGTATCATTGAGTCATACAGCCTTGAAACTGTTATTCCCGCTCCCCCCCCCTCTTTGTTTTTTGCCAGTATTTGGGCTTGAACTCAGGGCCTGGGTGCTATCTCTTGCTTGGCTTTTTCTCTCAAGGCTGGTGCTCTGCCACTTAGCCACAACCCCCACTTCTGGCTTTTTAGTGGTTAACTAGATATAAGAATCTGACAGACTTTCCTGTCCCAGCTGGCTTCTAACTGAGATCCTCAGATCTTAGCCTCCTGAGTGGATGGATTACAGGCGTGAGCCACTGGTGCCCAGCTCTCCAGGGTGTCTGCATGCTTATCTTTAGAGTAGATTCTGAACATGTATGGGGACTTTTCACAGGTCTTGGAGATATAACTTTTTTTTTTTTAATGTCTTTGTGGGGTTGACTCCTAGCACTGAAGAAAAAATGTCTTAGAATTGATAGCACATATCATTTCTTTTCTTTTTCTTTTTGGTGGGTTGTGGGGCTTGAACTCTGGGCCTGGGTGCTATCCCTAAGCTTTTTTTGCTCAAGGCTAGCACTCTACCACTTTGAGACACAGTTCCATTTGAGATAAGAGTCTCACAGACTTTTCTGCCCAGACTGGCTTTGAACCTTGATCCTCAGATCTGTCTCCTAAGTAGCTAGGATTACAGGCCTGAGCCACCAGAGCCAGGCAGTACGTATAATTTCTTTGGGGATTCAAGGATCAAGTGGACAGCTGTGGTCCTTTTTTAGGGTAAAACCGAAGAATAGGGACAGGAAGAGGGGGGGGCCTCACCTTGCTGTCATAATACTTCTCCCGCTTGTCGGTCTGGATGGAACGGATGACGTTGCCGGCATACTCAATCACCATCTCACCTGCATCAATGTTTCTCTTGCAGAAAAGACCCCGACCGTGGATGGGAGACCTGGGCCAGAGAGATGGGAGAGACCAGGCATAAGTTTCCCAGTATTGTGTGAATCCATAAATATGTATCAATGAATGGATTCTCCATGTCTATTAGCTTCCCAGATGGTCACTTACAAGGAATTTGTGCACATATACTGTGCTGACAAATGGCCAAAGATGCGTGATTTCTACATTCCCTAGCCTTCTAAAAGCAGCAGTGCTCTAGTGTGTCTATGGGGAAGTCCATGTTTAATACAAGAAGCTGCAGAAGCTCAGGAGCTCAGGCTCAATTAACTGTACACACAAATGCCTCACTGCCAGGAGGAGGGAGTTACTCCAGCATTCAGTCTCTTCATCATTTCATTCATTTCATTATTCGCTCTACAATCTTAGCCATACCTGTAGACACCAACTGCCTCCTTAGAAGTCTTTTTTAAGTGCCGGAAACGCATGGGCATCGGCAGATCCATGCTAGTTGCTCTCCTAGGAGAGAAGACAAATTATTAGCAAATTCTTTTCAGGAAATAATGTTTTGAGTCTTGAAGTGAAGGATCCTAGAGACTACGAATATACTTATTCACTCTCTGGCATTTCTTAAACGAGGCCCCTTTCCAAGACAGTTCTTTCTGACCACATCTATGGTTACACACACAGCAAAGTTATCAGCAAAGGCTATTACCATGAAAAAAAAATTGGCATCTTACAGCTGCTCAAATTTCTTCTAACTTACAGTCCTCTCTTTACTAGCCAGCTACATTCCAACGCAAACTAGATTTGAGTCTTCTTAAATGCATCAGGAAGCTGTGGTCCAAGCACAAGGACACAGCGCCCTGAAGCGGGGTGGAGGGAAAGGACGCTTGGAATGACTGGCTCCCTGGGCACTCACCGAGCGGACTTCAGCTGCACCTCCTCCTCCTCCTCGTCATTGGGGTTGTACTCAGGAGGCTGTCGGTGTTTAGAAGCCAGGAAGTTAAACATATCAAATGCCGACTTCCTGGAGCCAAAAGATGAAGGTTTACATTTAAAGAATGGAGCAGCACGTCAAGACAATGGTAGCAGTGGGAATCTCCACGGGTACTTGCCTCAGATGGACCTCAGCCCTGGCTGAGCCGTGGGGGTTCAAGGGGGGTTCATTGGCCTCTTCAGGTTTGTGGAAACGGAATTTGTAATTCCGACAGTGCTTGGCACCAGACAGCTGCTCAATCAGGAACACAACTGCATCATGGAGAATCCCCAGCATCCTCAAGCCGTTCACACCTGTGGGGTCAAAGGCACCCAGATGGCAGGAGTGCAGCCAGCAGGAAGCAGACAGCACAAACAAAGTGCCCGTGCTATGGGGCGGCTGCCAGCGGCTGCTCATGGGCAAATGATAATTGCCTACCTAGAAATCTGCACCAGACAGCAGCCAAAATAATGCTGGTATTCATCCATCAATACCACACACATTAGCTGGGCACCAGTGGCTCACGCCTGTAATCCTAGCTACTCAGAAGGCTGAGATCTGAGGATCACCGTTCAAAGCCAGCCTAGGCAGGAAAGTCTGTGAGACTCTTTCTCACCAGAAAACCAGAAGTGGCGCTGTGGCTCAAGTGTAGGGTGCTAGCCTTGAGCTGAAGAGCTGAGGGGACAGAGCCCAGGCCCAGAGTTCAAGCCCCATGACTGACAAAAAAACAAAAACAAAAAACCACACACATTCACACAGGATACTGCAAAACTGTAGTCTATATACGCTGTTGTGTACTCGGAGTTGCTACTGCACTATTTCACTTCATGCTTATACTGACTATTCTGAGGTAGCATTATTGTTTTTGTCTTTTGTGCTTCTGGAGATGGAACCCAGGGCCTCACACATGCTAGCGCTCTACCACTGAGCTACGTATCCCTAGTCTGTTCACTTTTTTTTTTTTTGGTCGACTGTGGGGCTTGAACTCAGGGCCTGGGCATGGTCTCTGAGCTTCTTTTGCTCAAGGCTAGCAAGAGTCACAGTGCCACTTCTGGCCTTTTCTGTTTATATGGTACTGAGGAATCGAACCCAGGGCTTCATGCATGCTAGGCAAGCACTCTACCACTAAACCACATTCCCAGCCCACCCTAGGTCTCTCTGTGCTCAAGGCTAGCACTCTACAAATTGAGCCACAACCACACTTCTGGTTTTTGAGTGGTTATTTGGAGATAAGAATCTCACAGGAGCCAGGTAATCCTAGTTACTCAGGAGACTGAGATTTGAGGATCATGGTTCAATGCCAGCCCGGGCAGGAAACTCCATGAGACTCTTATCTCCAATAAACCACTAGAAAATCAGAAATGGTTGCTGTGGCTAAAGCAGTAGAGCACTAGCCTTGAGCTGAAGAGCACAGGGACAGCACCCAAGCCCAGAGTTCAAGCCCCATGACCAAAAAAAAAAAAAAGAATCACACAGGGATTGTTCTGCCCGGGCTGGCTTAGAACTGTGATCCTCAGATCTCAGCCTCCTGAGTTGCTAGGATTATAGGTGTGAGCCACCCGTGAGCCAAGCTAGCCCATTCACTTTAACAAAAGGAAACCTAGTCCCAGAGAATTTAACCCTCAAAATCATAGAGCTATTATACTGACATTTGATCTTCATATTATGTGATCCTACACACAATCCCAATATTGTTTGTAGAAGTACTTGTGTTCCTTGCTCCTATGCTGATCAGTATAAGAGGAATACCAGCATACTCCTAATGTGTACTTTGCTGTGTTGTTACAGCAAAGACAGTTACATATTTACTAGCTACTCTCTTACTCAGTTGCATACAATTATTAGCATTTTAACTTCCTTTTTATATATGAAAACATTTGTATAAATCTGTTGGCAGAGATGACTAAAGGCTTTTCAAACTCATCAGTTATCTTTCTCTCTCTCTTTTTTTGATCTTGGGGCTTGAACTCTGGGCCTTGATGCTATTCCTGAGCAATTCAGTTCAAGGCTAGTACTCTACTCCTTGAGCCACAGTGCCACTTCTGGTTTTCTGGTGGTTTATTGGAGACAAGAATCTCATGGACTGTCCTGCCTGGGCCAGCTTTGAACCAGGATCCTCGTATCTCAGCCTCCTTAGTAGTGAGGATTATAGGCGTGAGCCACTGGCACTTAATTCATCAGCGTTCTTTAAAAGAAAAAAAAATGTACAGGGCTGGGAATGTGGCTTAGTGGTAGAGGGCTTACCTAGCATGAACAAAGCTCAGGGTTCGATTCCTCAGTACCACATAAGCAGAAAAAGCCAGAAGTAGCAATGTGGCTCAAGTGGTTGAGTGCTAGCCTTGAGCAAAAGAAACTGGGGACAGTGCCCAGGCCCTGGGTTCAAGCCCCAGGATTGGCAAGAACAAAACAAAACAAGCAAACAAAAATGTATACAGGACACTCAAAACACAGTAAGCTGGACGATTAAATAAATGAACATGCGGGCCGGGATGTTGCTTGCCTAGCAATGCAACGTCCTGAATTAATCCCCAGCACCAGAAAAGACCAAAAAGAAAAAAAAGAAAAGAATGAACATGCCCCAGCAAGGCAGGGGACATGGGGAAGGCTTATTAAGAAGCATCTCACTAAGGTTTTCCCAGGCCGGCCTCGTACCTGAATAGCTAGGATTACAGGTGTGAGCCACCTGCCTGCCTGGCCAAAGATCATGATTTTTTTAAAAGAAAGTTTATTTGTTTTTGTCATTGTAGTGGTGGTATTTAGACTAACAAGTTGCCGGAATGTTCTGAGGCAGGAATAAACTAACAGCTCTAGCCATTACCTGCAAATGAGAGCTGCTTCAGGCGCGCATTCGATCGAGCTTCCTGGACTTTATCTGTCAATGACTTCCAGGCATCTGAAGGGAAAAGAAGAAAACTGTAGGCTGAAAAATATTCATGCCAACATCTCTTAATACTAATGGTGTGCAATACGTATTGTGCTTAGGATCCTACAGCGCAATACACATCTTCTTAGGACAGAACAGCTTGTTTTCCTTTTGTTTTTAGTAGTACTGGGGCATGAACTCACAGCCTTGTACTTAGCTGTCTTCTATACAGCTAGTGCTCTACCACCTGAGCCATGCCTCCACTCCAGCATTTTGATGATTAATAGGTAGAGTCTGAGAGACTTTTTACTTGGTACCCAGTCCTCCTAATCTCAGGCTCCCATATAGTTTAGGATGATAGGTGGGGACCACCACCACCAACCATTTGTTAGAAGGGGTCTTTTCTGCCTGGGCTAGCCTCAAATCACAATTCTCCTGTTCTCCACTAGGCATCAGCCACCATCACCAAGCTTTTTTCTGAAAGAGGAAGTGGCACTGACGCTCTGGCCGAGAAGACAAAGAGAAGACAAAGCTGAGCGCATGAAGGGCAAATGCAGGAGAGCCTTCCAGGCAGAGGGAAGAGCGAGGGGAAGGGGCTGGCCTTGCATCGTGCTGTGTGAGGGTACACAATCTCTCTCTTCTTTGGGCGGCACTGGGGTTTGAGTTCAGGGCCTCCCACTTGCTAGGAGGCATTGAGCCACTCAACCAGCCCAGCGTATGTAATCTTAACAACAAAACCCTTACCACCAGATTTTTACCTTGAGCTGTGACTGTCTAACAGAGAGACTGTGGTACACTCTCCATGTGTGAATCCTCCGTACTACAGTGGCACCACAGAGGTGGCTGAAACAGGGCTATTGAGGGAGGGCTGACTGAATTCAATCCACTCACCTTCAATACTTTCTGCACAGATCTGAAAGCCATCATCACTTGAAATTTCAAAAACAAGTCCTTTCTTGGGCTTTTTCTCAGCAATGCTTTCCTTCCGCTTCTGTTCTTGCTGGAGCCAAAGCATCAGAGGAGAGCTGAAACTGCTTTCTTCTTCTTCCACTGCTTTAGGTTCTAGGCCGGGGAAAACAAAACAAAAAAAACAAAACCAGCAGCCATATGGTTAGAGCAGTGAATGCTTCCTGCAGGGCAACTGTGTGCAGTACTGTAGTGACTGGGCCTGGCACCATGCCACGGCTGCCTCATCCCACGCGCTGCTGCCAGCCTCGAGGCCTGGTGAGCTTGCCCCGGGTTAGAGCCAGCGTGACGTTTGGCTGTCTCTATGGCATGACAACTGGCTCATCTGCCCTAAGCATGTGTCTTCACCTACTGAAGATGTGAAGACAGGTGGAAAGCAAGCCCCTGTGCCTTGCTCTTCCAGAGCATGACCTTCATCGCAGCCAGCGAGGCGAGGTGAGCTCCGTGCGGCGGGAGCCCTGCACACACAGCTGATGTGGGGAGCAGTGGCCACAGAGCAACTGTCTCTGGAGATGGCATTTGTGGCAATAATGTACCAGGACCCTTGACAGACAGGCACATCAGCAGGCTACAGTAACGGGCTGTCTCGTGACTCCGCCTTTTCTGCATGCTTCTGGTTGGGACGCTCTCTCCTTGGGACTGGGCAAGGTCTTTAACCGGAGCTCTCTAATTTTGAATACCCACATGTTTCCTGACTGAACTCACAAGTCTGGATGGAAAGTGCTATGGGACATGTGTGGTGTTGGAACCAGAATCTGTCTAATAAAATCAAGATGGTTCTTGGTTTCCCTTTGTGACTAGGGAGGAACTCAGGGTTTCACTGTTTAAATGTCACTGCTATGAAGACCAGCACAGCAGGAGAGGATTTCCAGGCATTATTTGGCCCTCTGGCTGTGGCAGATGATCAGACTATAACACACTACATGATTAATAACTGTTGCTCTGCTTCATGCTAGCCAGTGCTTTACTTCTTTGAGGATTACAAGTATTAGCACTGTTTTGGAATCCAGAAAGATGGGAGGTTAAAGTCAGTAATTGTAGCAGTCCCTCTAGCTGTAATTCCCTGATACGAACCCATTCACCTCCCACATACCTGTATTTTCTTGCTCGCTTGTTGGATTTGGTGTTGCCTGAGCCTCTGGAAGAACAGCCACTTGTCTGAATAGAGAAAACCGTATGAGAGGCAAGGTCAGCTAGTTCGTCAAAAATAAAAACAACTCTCAATCTGCCAGGACGGGTGCTAGTTATATACAAAACAACTAGTCAAAGTGAACCACAAGGTGCTTTGTGTAAAACCCGCTGAATGAACTCCATTGCTACACTCCTGAATAGCACACATAAAGAGCCACTCCCTTGAGATTTCTTCCCAAACATCAACAGTAGTATCTGTGTGTGGTAGACTGTGCCCTTGAAATTCTTCTCATATCCATAGAAATAGGGAAAAAATATGAAAGAACACTTGTCAGAAGCAGTTCCAGAATTAGTTAAATAAGGCTATCTGGTTCAGCTAAAAATAAAGTAAGTTGTACAAGTCAGTAAACCACCATCTACTTTCACCTTCTAAAATTAATCCTGAAACAATCTGACTACAAAGCAATATATATTAACTGGTTAAATAAACCATTGCAGATCCACACAAGAGTATTGGAGGTAGTCACTAAAAAAAGTGAGGTGTGGGGCTGGGAAGGGGGCTCAGTGGTAGAGTGCTTGCTTCGCATGCATGAGGCCTGGGTTTGATTCCTCAACACCACATAAACAGGAAAAGTCAGAAGTGGCACTGTGGCTCAAGTGATAGAGTGCTAGCCTTGAGCTGAAGAGCTGGGGGACAGTGCCCAGGCCCAGAGTGTAAGGCCCATGACAAAAAAAAAAAGTGAAGTGTGTTAGCTAGGCACTAGTGGCTCATGGCTGCTGTAATCCTAGCTACAGAGGAGGCTGAGATCTGAGGATTATGGTTCCAAGTCATCTGGACAGGAAAGTCTATTAGACTCTTATCTCAAATTAACTGGCAAGAAAAGCTGTAGAAGTAGAGCTCAAGTAGTAGAGTGCTAGATAGTCTTGAGCAAAACAGCTCAGGGACAAGAGTGTCCTGGCCCAGGACTAGCACATACACAAAAAAAGTGAGTGTGGCTAGGTATGGTGGTAAACACCTGCAGTCTCAGTACATGGAGGCTAAGACGGGGGGATTACACATATAAAGCCAGCCTGAGCTACATAGTTGTCTCTGTCTCAAATACAATATAAAGCAAAGCAAAGCAAAATAAAACGACACAGGTACGCTGCTGCTACCATACCGGCACAGGAAGATGTATGCAAAATACTAATTTTTACAATTTTTATTTTTTTGGTGCCAGTCCTAGGGCTTGAACTCAGAGCCTGGAAGCTGTGCCTCTGGCACTCTACCACTTAAGCCACAGCTCCACTTGCAGTTTTTTGGTGGTTAACTAGAGATAAGAGTGTTACAGATTTTTCTGTCTGGTCTGGCTTTGAACCACGATCCTCAGATCTCAGCCTCTTGAATAGCTAGGATTACAGGTGTAAGCCACTGGCACCTGGCCTTTCCTTGTTTTTTGTAAATAATTATTATAAGACAGGCACTAAGACTCTTATCTCCAACAATTAACCACCAAAAAGCTGAAAGTGGAGCTGTGGCTGAAGTGGTAGAACACTAGTCTTGCATGAAAAAGCTCAGAACAGTGCCCATGCTTCATGGCCCAGGACGAACCAAAAAAAAAAGCCAGTAAAGATGGGTAAGTACATTATTATTCCTTTTATGTAAAAAAAATCATTTATACTTTATACAACTACTTAAATAATGAAAAAGTAAAAAAAAAACCCAAAACAAGCATATACACATTCACACAAATACTACGTATATCTGCATATGCATATGAATGTCTGCATGCATGAAGCTACAGGTGAAGGGCAGGACAGAAACGTTCACTATACATTTTTTTTTTTTGTCGGTCGTGGGGCTTGAACTCTGGGCCTGGGCACTATCCCTAAGCACTTCAGCTCTAGGTGAGCGTTCTACCACTTGAGCTACAGCGCCACTTCCGGTTTTCTAGTGGTTTATTGGAGATAGGAGTCTCACGGTCTTTCCTGCCCGGGCTGGCTTTGAACTGTGATCCTCAGATCTCAGCCTCCTAAGTAGCTAGGATTACAGGCGTGAGCCACCAGCACCCAGCTACTATACATTATTTAAATAATTCTATGCTACTTTATTTTCTAAACAGCCTGTACTTAATTCCATTAAAAAAGGAGACTTTGTGCCAGGCTCTGGTAGCTCATGCCTATAATCCTAGCTACTCAGGAGGCTGAGATTTGAGGATTGTGGTTTGAAGGCTGGCCTGGTAGGAAAGTCCACAATACTCATCTCCAATGAACCACCAAAGTGGCCGAGTGCTAGCCTGGAGCAAAAATGCTCAGGGACAGTGCCCAGTCCCTGATTTCAAGCTCCATGACTGACCAGGAGAAAAAAAAGGAGATTTGTAAGGCAGAGTGATACTGTCCAAAAAAGAAAGAAATATTGCTCATTACTAGACTTGTGAAATGGTAACCCCCTGTATAATATCTTAATAACAAATACAAAATTATTTATATATATATATATATATATATTTAAAAAGAAGATCATTGAAAACAAAATAAACCAAATGCACATGGGGAGGAAGAGTTCTGACTCAGGCAGAGCGAGTGGAGGTTAGTCTGAGGAGCTCACCCTCTGGGCTGCCCACACTCCTTCTGCAGCGGCTTCTGTGCTGGCTGCTCCATCCTCACTGCGTCCGGCTGCTCTGTCTCTGCTCCCAGGGCCCTGGAACACAGTCATTTGTATAAAGAGATAACCACTAAACATGGGCCAAAGTGGACACAGAGGTCAGTCTACAGAAGTAACTATCCAGCCTGGACAACACTTACAAGGCTACGTCAGTACTCAAATTCATAAAAGTTAGATGATGGTCACCAAGCGAGGGCACGGGGGCCTTTCTGGGAGCACTAGAAGTGTTTGCACAGATGAGCAAATGTACAACACACGTACACACAAATATCAAAAGTGCCTGGCACACTTTACACATCACACTGCAGTGGCACGTTTTGTAACCGGACTCTGTGAGCCTCCACAGCGGGGCCTCTGCATCGTTCCCTAGCATCCTAAACTCCCAGCCAGAAGGAAACGGAAGCAAAGAGCAGCACTGCTTGTAAAGACTAATCACAGATATAGCGCTCTCCAAGAGTCAACACCAGACAATAAAATGACTCCAAGTCCAACCCCAGAAAGCCTGGTGTGGCACCTGAGTGCCTCTGCCCAGACTAGAACGGACATGTGGCTGGCTCACCCTGCGACCGGCGGCCCGGAGGTTGTGCTGGCTTCTTGGTCTGGAACGTGTGCTTCGGAACTGGTCCTCGAGTGGGAAACTTTGTGCTTCTTGCCACTCCCTTTGTCCAGAGGCAGCTGGATCCGTTTGACTTTTGCTTTGGTTTTGGTGGGAGCTGGCACTGAAGGGCTGGAGGACTGCTGTCCAGAAGAGGGAGAGCCGCCGGGAGAGGTCGAGCTGGCCGGCGCAGCTGGGGGCAAGGCCTTGCTCTGCTCCAACCTCACGCTGTTAGGAACATCGGCTGTTTGGGTGAAGTTGGGTGCTGGGGTCCCAGAGGCAGAATCCAGATCCCGCTGGGAAGAGAGGCTCCCAGTTTTGCCAGCGAGGAGCTGGTTCACGTGCTGCAGTTGATAGTGCTCTTCTGTCTCTGCAGGAGGAGACGTGGAGGCCATGGCCGAAGTCTGTGGAGAAGGGAGCACACAGATGCTTGAGCCTGCAGCCATTGCCGCTGTAGAGGGCGTCTGTGTGGTCCCTAGTTGCGGGAACATTCCCGAGCTTGGTGGTAAAGTCACAGGCTGTTCCTGAATACCCAGGCTCTGCTGGCTGGCTTTGATTAGAAGATTGCTGATGGAGCCAATGTCTGAGGACCCAAGCAACCTCGGGCTGGTTAAGGTGACGTGTCCCGGAACTGACGCACTACTCGTCGGGGTTGTGGACGTTTGCATGGATACCACATTCAAGACAGAGGGGCTGGACGCCAAGCCGGACACGGGCCCTGTGGCGAGGTGGCTGGCGTCCTGGCTCATCGTTGCCGGGGCGGGAGTTCCGCTCACACTCTGTGGTAACAGCGGGGCCTGTTCAAAATACATCACACCAGATTTAGATCTTTTTATGATGTTGGGGACAGTTCGGTGAGAGGAAGTATTAAGTGACCCCAAATCTAAGAGATTAGGATGACTGGAAAGCTGGGAGGGTGTGAAGTTGATCAACGTCATATTGGAAACCACGTCGGAAGGGGCAATGGTGGAGGGGGTACTAGAGGGCGCGAGTTTTTTGTTTTTCCGTGTGTGTAGACGAGAGATGGGTCTTTTCTTGAGTCCAGAGGATGGGGTGGCTACTGTGGTAGTGAGGTCTGTCCTCTGGTTGGCTTCTGAAACCAAAAGTTGGGGATCTGGAGGAGGTTGAACCCCAATAAGTAGGCCTGAAGGCGGATTGCTGATGTTGGGTGGGAAGCTACTCTGAGTAGCGGCGGGGAAGGAATGCAAGTGCTGGTGATGAGGCATGGAGAGCAGTCCTTTGCTAGCAGGAGGGAACAGGGACTGAGAAGCCGGCAAGCTGGGGTTCAGTCCAGTGGTCAGGGTGAGACCACTTCCCATGGGCCCCAATACTGAAGAATTGGTCTCCATCACACTGGGGGCAGAACTAACAGGAGAGGTCAATTGGATTTTCTGGGTCACTCCATTTGGAAGAGTTTGGAGAACATAAAGCGGCTGCATGTTCTGGTTCACCACAATGAGTTTCTCGGTGGCTGGCTTCAGGTGGGGTGGAGTGGTCTGGACAGCTGCGTTAGAAATCTGAGAAGGGCCGGGGCTATCAGTAGAATTGGGCACGTACTTCTGGTTCTGGATGGGCACAGTTGGGGAAACGGGTACCTGAAGGCCAGGAGTGCTACTGTTCCGAGGTAAATCCTGACTGGTGCCATGACTTTGTTCCACGGAACCACACGGAGGGCTGGAGATGTGGTCGGCATCCATGTGACCCTGGATGAAGTGGTCAGGAGTCATGTGACCCTCGGGAGCAGGATCGACTCCCGGGCTCAGCAGCGCTGGGTCACCGTCAGCAGAGGCCACCGATTTTTCCGTGATGGCCACTCGCTTCTCCCCGGAATCTGAGATTACCGCCAGTCGACTGGGATTCTGGCTAGGGACTGTGGGACTCCGGGTGGTCAGGACGGACAGATCAGATGGCAGTTCTAGAGGCAACTCAAACTGCTCCTCTGCTGAGATAGAGGAAGAGACGCTACTGTCCACGGGTTCTGTGGTTGGCAGCTGCTGAGAAAATACTTCAAAAAGACCCATGTCTTTCTCACGATTGCTGTCAAGGCCCAACCCTTCACCAAGATTCAAGAGTTCAGAGGATGAGGACTCCGGGCTCTCCCCCAAGGCCTGCATGGACGGGGTATTCTTCAGTACAAAGTCCATGATGTCTGAAGGCAGGATGTTCCCACAGTCGTCACTGTTGTTGTTGTCGGAGTCCGACTTCAGGAGCTCAGTGTTGTAGGTGTCCAGTAGGTTTTTGTCTGATGGGGTGCTCGCGTGGACTCTGCGGCTCGACTCCAATGAGCTAAGCTGAGCTTCTAAGGAATCCTGCCCCTGTGTTTTCAGCCTGCTTACCGAGTGGCAGTTGTCCATCTTCGGCTCACTTTTGTGGCCCACAGAACTCTTAGTGACATGTTCTTTTTCTCCAGCATCTTCGGGCCGATCAATCTTTAAGTTTTCCGTCCCGTTTTCTTTGCCGTTTCTCTTTGCGATCTGGCTGCTTTTCCTCGTCGTGGCTGTGACGCTCGTGTCACTCTCGGTCCCGTCGTCAACACCATCCAACTGTGAAATTTTGGGGAGGTCACACTGCTCCTCTTCCCGAAACAAGTTGTGGGACGCGAGCCGCTCCTCCCCACCTGAAGAAATGACTGTTCTGGTGAAGTTGTAATAGTATAAGTCGTCTTCATCTGAAGTGCTCAGGTCATCAGCCCCGTCTACCTGTCCTTCTGCCGATCTCTTGCCTCGCTTCTTCCCAGGGGAGCTGCTGTAGAATGGAATGTCTTCTTCCCCGTAGGATCTGACGCCATAGAGTGGGGTGAGCCCAAAAAACATGTTAGACCGCGCGCGGGCACTGCGGCGGGGATATCTCCTCTTAAAAGAGCCATCCTCCTGAGGTTTGGGGCCATCTGGCAGCAGTAGGTTTCTGTCCTGCACTGGAAGGTTCTGGTAGCTGTTCCTCTGAGACTCCTGGGAGGAGGTATTGTTGGGGCTTGGTTGGATCACTGGACCATCCCCTGGACTTTTGGAGGCTGAAACGGGGTCTGTTGGTGATGCGGACTCCATTTGCACAGGGGAGGCAGGACCGCTTTCTTTCAGGGCGTTTTTGGATTGACTCTCACTTTCCATTTTTAGTGGTGTCACCTTGACGGTGCATTTCCGGGGTGCTTGTGATTCCTTGCAAGACTCTTCTACTTGCATGGACACAGCTTTAGGGACTCCTGAAAGAGAAAGGCCCTTATCCCCGATCTTCTCAGAAGAAATGTTATTACATGGCCGCTGCCCCATAAACTCAGGAGTCAAAACCTCATCAATAAACTCTGGCTTTAGGTTTCCGTCCTCGTTAGTTGTTACTTGACCAGGTTCCAAAAAAGATTTACTGGAATGCTTTTCTTTGAAAGTTTCCTTAGAAGATTTTTTCCCTTTCTGCCTCCTGTCTCTGGAACTAGATCCCACATGTTCATTGATAATGGACGACCTATTGCTTACTCCAGAAAGCTTCAGAGTTTTGACTTCAATATCTTCATCTGGGGAGAGGTTTGCTGGTTGGGCAGACTCTGTGTGTTGGTCTCGATCATTCCTTTGCCCTCTTAAATGGAGTTGTGCGAACGGAAGGGCCTCTTTGGAAGGAAATGACACTGAAGACATCTCAGAGAAAGCGCCAGTTTTGCTAACACTCAACTCTCCAGAAGTGGTGTTATGAGCCTGGGAGGCCAGTTTGGGAATGGCAGCGTGAGTCACATGGGCAGCTCCCTCTGAGCTCTTGGAACTCAGCATTTTGGTCTTCTCTCCCTTTAAAGAGGAACTCTTGGATGCTGAGTCTGAAGCACTGGAATGCTTCATTTCTGAAGATGACGATCCATCCAAGTGGCTTGCTTTAGTGCCTACGGTGGCCACGGTCCTTCCTGAGGTGGGAGTGCCATGCCCCAGATTCACGCTTGAACTCGGTGGCCCTAAGCCGTGATCCACTTTGGCACTCGCCTCAGCGTCTGGAGCGCTCCCACTGGCGGAGACGGAGGAGACACTATTCCTGGAGTAAGTGTTTCCAGTTCTCATGGGAGAGACTATCCGGAGCTTTGACCGGAGAGGCGACAGGGAGGAAGTACTGTGGCGCCTCGAGCCAATGCTTCGCAGGCCGGAGGAGAGGAGAGGGTCGCCCACCGTGACGATCTCATGGGTGGTTGGGGTAGGACTTCCTGAGGAAGAGAGAAAATAACAAAGTCTGTCACTGATAGAACAGATGTAGCAAAGTTGTTGTTTTCAGTGACTTGGCTGCATCCATTTATAGAGAACTGAAAACAAAGTTGTCATTTCTCTTGGGGCTAAGCTTCTGGGGTCAAGCCCTTTACCTGCAGAAGGCAATGGCCGACAGCCAGGGGATCTCTGTGTAGGAGAGTAGCTGGGTGTTCGAATCCTAGGAACCTTGGAGATGACATGGTAATAGCAGGAACTAGAGGTTTGCACATGCGGAGGTCGCTCTGGTGATGGAGGACTGAGAATTGCAGCTGTATTTTGACTGTCTTTAGAGGAAATTTCTGTGGGAAGAAACAAAAATGCTTTTAACTATAAAAGCTTGGTTAACATACCAAACAAATAGCCAGGCGCTGGTGGCTCATGCCTGCATTCCTAACTACTCAGGAGGCTGAGATCTGAGGATTGTGCTTTGATGCTAGCCCAGGCAGAAAAGTACCCACGAGACTTTTATTTCCAATTAATCATCAGAAAACCAGAAGTGGCACTGTGACTCAAAATGGTTGAACAAAAAGAGCTCGGGGCAGCACAGAGGGCCTGTGTTCAAGCTCTACAACTGACAAAAAAAACAAAACAAAAATCAAACCCAAGCTAGCTATTAGGGAAATGTCAAACTAGAAACCAAAGTGTCCTATGACAGAGGCTTTTCCCCTTCCAGCTTTTAATCTCAGTACACACTCCCCGAGCTCTAGTTCCGGCCCCAGCTGGAGTTCAGACTCACCAGTGAGCGACGACGGACTGTGGGCAATGGTCCTGTTTGCATCGTGCTGCACAGTGCTATTGATGTCTGGCTCTACAACCGGAGGCCGGCACTCCACTATCTTGCATGTATACACACAACGTTTTCGGGCATCGGTGGTGCTCCAGTACACCCGGGAACACCTGACAACGGACAAGAGTCACAAATGAGAGGACAGAAGCAAGTGGACACTAACATTTGTCAAAACTTTTCCTCATCCTGGGTCCCCTGGTTTCCTGGATTTAGTGTTTTTAGTTTTACTTCTGGAGTTCTTAGTTTACATTTCCCCTAGTTAGGTTGTTCCAAACTTAATGAAGTCTTTGGCTTTTCTGAGCCTCTCAGAAAATTGCCTAAGATTTGTTTTTTTAAATGATTCTCAAAATAATAAAATATCCTAAAATAGAGAAAAAGAAAAAGACTTACTACTATTACTACTAAGAAAGAGTTACTGACTCCCAGGAAAGGACTGATGCCCCACAGCGTGTACAAAGAGAGGCCCGAAAACCAGGAAAAAAGCCCCATGAGGCAAGAAAAATGTAATTGCTTCTGCTTCGGCTGCCTTGTTTATACAAAGAGCGTCTAGCTGAATGTGAAGTACACGCTGTTATTACGACTGGAATGCAGAACAAATTGGAGTATTTATTACAAAACAAGACTCCAGTGAGGAAGATGTACGGGCAATTTGATCTTACTATCAGCTTGTTAGAGGCTCAAACAATTTGCATCTTGTAAGATTACAAATCTTTTGTTTGCTTGTTTATTTGCTCTGCAATGGTCTCACCAGGTAGCAGGCTGGTTTAGAATTTTTTTATTTTTGGTATATTTGATTTTGAAAACATCTGGATTTTGGCATGAATGGAATTTAGAGGAATCTTGAGACAGACTCTGTTTTTAACAGACTTTATTTGAAAATGATTCTGAAATGCCACAATGCTTTACTTACATAATGACATTTACCTGACACAGTGTTTTAATTCCACACTACAAGCTGAACAAGTAATTTTTAGAACATGTTATAAGCTAACAAGTACATGTCTACATGAATGGCCTGTACATTACGTCCAGTGCTCTCAAGTTGAAGGGGTTGCTGTGTTTATACTACTACTTACTGATATCCAATAGGAAAGAGTTTATCTTCACAGTCAGAGAGATCATTCAAAATTCCCAAGCAGTCGATTGTCATTGAGCCTGTCCGATGGAAAAGGAAGGGATTAGAGGAGTGTGTGTGTGTGTGTGTGTGTGCACGCGTGCGTGTGTGTGTGTGTGTGTATGATTTTCCATCTGAGAGCTAGAAAGCACCCAAAAGGCAATACAGCCTTCCCCAGTAAGCAGGGCTAGGTCATACCAATCATCATGTGTATATTTTCTGGTTCTAAGCCATTGAGGAACTTCCTTCTCAAGCTGATCCCTTCAAAATCCACAAAAACTCTTCTAAACACTTCGAATCCATTCTCAGGAACCACCTTAAATAAAAGCAGTGGTTGCGGTTAGTGGGAGGTCCCGCGGTACTGACTGAGGGAAAGCACAGAACCTGTCACAAAATCACCCTCTGTCTCACTAGCAGCACCTCTTTGTTTCCAACAAGACATGATGACTTCAAGAACACTTAGTAACACCTGGTAAGAAAGTAAAACTGGTTTGTCAACTTGCTATTTTCAGTACTGTTTCCCCTGAATTTCTAGGGAATTCAGAAAGTATCTAACCAAGTCATAAGAAGAACTCCAGGAAACTTAAAAATATTTTGCTAAGTGGACGAAGCTGGTCTGAAAAGGGCCATTGTGTTCTACACAATTCCATGGATAGGAAATCCTGGAAATGACAAGACCATGGAGAAAGATTGGTGGTTGTACAGGGCTGGGGAGAAACAGAAAAGCAGGCAGAACAGAAAGGGATGTTTAGACAGTGAAAACACTGGTATGAAAACACTATGTGACGTTTGTCCAGATTCACAGATGTACACTATTAAGGGTGACATAGTTACACAGTGATGTAACTTCATTAGCTGTAACAAACATAGCACTGGGGGAGGGGAGAATGCTAATTATTCTGGGGGAGGTGTGGGGTGGCGGAGAGCAGAGTGCATAGGCCATCTCTGATCTCCTACTTAAGCTGCCATGAACCTTAAAACTGCTCTCAAAGAAAAAGCCTACCGTGAAAACAAAACCAAAACCCACTAAAGCAAAGCCAGCTCACCTCGCCTTTGATCAAATCCCGGTGTCGCTGGCAGTACACCTTTTTATCATCCAGAAAGACACAGTTCTTGGCTCGGGAACACATGAAATGGTAGTTGCTTGTGCAGGAGGTCAGACAGCAACCCACAGTGGCTCCTGGCTTTTGGCAGAATTCGCATCTCTAAAGACCAAAAAAGAACAAGAGCCCAATGAGGCCTTCAGAAGTCTACAGAACTGCCCTGCTTGGCGCCTCCTGCAACTCATCTGCTGCTGACTTACAGAGAAATGGAGTGCACAGCTTCCTCACACCCTTTCTCTCCCATACACGGCTCTGTGTCTATTGCATTTAGTTACTGCAACTTGGATTCCTCATTGATTTACAGGACATGGAATTTGGAAGATAAATGCCAAAAACATCACCCTGCAGGGAAGTTACTATATTCCAACCTGACTCAGCTTTACAAAGACGTCATGAGTCAGACAGGTTCCGGTACTTACTAGACAGATCAAACAGCCGCATCACAGGGTTCAGATTCCCCTTCCTTTCCCCTGTGTATCACTCATTATTCTCACAGTCTGCACCTCTCTCCCAGCAGGATCTCTTTTTGAGAATCCTTCATTTTCACACCTTCAATGCCTTCTAACTCAGCACCACTGCCACTACCCACTTCCCACTGCATGTACACACATGCATGTGTCTGTGAGTTTGTTCTGGAGACTCAGAATGCTGCTTCAGTGGTATCTGAGGTCACTCACATACTTGAATTAGACCCCAAACTAAATGATGCTTTGTTTTCGATCTCTTTTTGCATGGACCCACAGAGAGAATATCCACAAACGGACAGGGAATGTCTTTCCCTGGATTTGCCCACTAAGTCCTTACCAGCTGCTTGCCCCTGACCACCGCCATGTGCACATTCTTTAGTGACCCATCATCATCTTCAAATACTTCTGCTGACCACAGAGCACAATTCACATGTGTCCACTCATTCTGGCCAATGTACAGCAAACGACCAGCATCCTATGAAACAGAGATTTCTTTTCTCTTAAAGAGTTCAATATAATGCTCAAGACAGGTTCCTTAAAATTAGCTTTACCTTAGTTAAGACAACCTCAAGAAAGCACCTATTAATTCTTTTTTTTTTAATGTAATTTTATTGTTATTAGTAAGGTGCTGTGCTTTTTTTTTTTTTTTTTTTGGGTCCGGTCATGGGGCCTGAACTCTGGGCCTGGGCGCTGTCCCTCAGCTCTTCAGCTCAAGGCTAGCGCTCTACCACTTGAGCCACAGCACACTTCCGGCTTTTTTCTTTTTGCTTATGTGGTGCTGAGGAATCGAACCCAGGGCCTTGAGCATGCAAAGCAAGAGTTCTACCACTGAGCCACCTTCCCAGCCCACCTATTAATTCTTTAGGGAGGCACACAAAAATCTCAATTCAGTTTTCAATGTTTCCATTTTCTTTCTTTCTTTTTTTTTTTTATCGGTTGTGGGACTTGAACTGTCCCTCAGCTCTTCAGCTCAAGGCGAGCGCTCTACCACTTGAGCTACAGCACCACTCCGGTTTTCTGGTGGTCTTATTGGAGATAGGAGTCTCACGGTCTCTCCTGCCAGGGCTGGCTTTGAACCGCAATCCTCAGATCTCAGCCTCCTGAGTAGCTAGGATTACAGGCGTGAGCCACCAGCGGCCGGCAGTTTCCATTTTCTTTCTAGATTACTGGAAATATTTTATAAATCTGGTGAGTCAGAAAGTGTAATATGCGGTAAGTTTATATAAATGTGCTATTACTTCTTTAAAACCATTATACAGAGCCAGCATTCAGACTGCATTAAAAACTTTTTCCTGCCAGTGCTGGGGTTGGACACACAGCCTCGTGCAGGCTAGGTAAGTGCTCTGCCACTGAGCCACACTCCCAGTCCCCAAACTCCTGAAAAAAAAGTTGTAAAAAGCTTACTATGTACCACAAGCATTAAATAAGAGTTTTCCATACATTACTCCATTTAGTCCTCACAACCATTCTGAGGTAAGCATTGTTATCTTTCCCTAGAAAAGGATTGTGAGGAGGCTGGAGCAGATAGCGCTGAGGGGGAAAATGAGGGGAAAGAGTACTAGCTGCCGCTGCTTTACACTCCAAGTCTTATGATGGTTTTATTTCTGTGCATTGTTATCTTTATTTTACACATGTAATTGAGGGTCAGAGAGACTAGGCTACTTGTTAACGTTGTAAGTAAATAGAAAAGCAGAGGAATGAACACGGCCGTCTGTTACAAGCGAGGCTCTCATCTGTCCTATGTCCACGCTAAACACAGCTACTTCGCCAGCAGCTTCCTCAGAATGCCCTTTTCTTTGTGGGCATCCCATTTGCCTAGCCACATCCCTAACCCTGACTTTCATAAATCTGTGTGTGTGTGTGTGTGAGAGAGAGAGAGAGAGAGACAGACAGACAGACAGACAGACAAACAGAGCAAATGTGCATGTGGGCTGGTTCTAGGGCTTGAACTCAGGGCCTGGGTGCTGTCCCTGAGCTTCTTTCTTTTGCTCAGGCTGGTGCTCTACCACTTGAGCTTCAGTTCCAGCATTTTGGTGGTTAATTAGAGATAAAAGTCTTGTGGACTTTCTTTTCCAGGCTGGCTGCGAATCCTCAGATCTCAGCCTCCTGAGTAGCATGATCCCAGCACCCAGCTTCATAAAATCTTTTTAAGGAATTCCCATGATAAATTATTAGGCAGCAATAGATTATTTTAAAGCAAATCACATTTTAAATTAATTTGTCAGTTATAAGAAAACAAAATAATCCTCTTCAAGTTAGACATGATGGTGCATGCCTATCATCCAGCTACTGGGAGGCTGAGGCAGGAGGATTACATGTTCCAGGCCAGCTCAAAACAAAACACAACAAAACACAACAAAAGTGTACAGTAAGTACCATCAAGTGCCAAGCAAGCGGCACCACAGGCATCAAAATTACCACAAATGGGAAGCAGCTCACAAGAGGTGTCTATTAACCAGGGTCTTCTGTCTCCAAGTACTTACATTTGCACTGTCATCACCATACATCAAACACAATGCACACTGTCTGTTATCTTCTATGCCTGGGGGCGGGTTCAGCTCTGGGCTGTCTTCTCGAGTCCGATCAGTACCTTGGAACCCAAAAGACAGGCAGTTAAAATTGACAGTGCTATGTTTAATTCCCAGGACAAAAGAAAACAATCCTGCTAGTGTATGTAAAATAAACACTTTTTAAAAAACGTTCCAAGTTAGGTTGTTTGATTGAGCTAAAATACTCAGAGTATTGATGTCAGGCTTTGTTAACATCCCAAGTGAAGCAAAAACAATGACTTCATTCCATTTATGGATGATCTGAAAATCCCTTTTTCTGGTTAAGTTTGGGTTTACAAAGTCTGTCACATGCATCTAGAGAGAAAAAGATCACGCCTCTTCCCTTGATGCCTTACTCAAAATCGGCGGTGTGGGAGGATGCAGAGGCGTAGGCGAGTCTGGTTCTCCAGGGCCCTTGGGTTTGGGAGCGGGGATGATTTTCTTCATGAGAGGAGGCTGTTCGGTGTGGCTGTTCTCCTCTCGCTCCTGCCACTGAGCATAATTATGGTCAAGTGAAGGTGGAAGCACTGCGTTTGGTAGCATCCCACTGCTGAAAACAACCGATTCAACAAGTATTTATTGAGCTCCTACAGTGCACCTAGAACAATACAGACAATCAAGTGCTTGACAGCACCAGGTCTGCACCCATCGGAGCCACTTATAGAATGTATTTGTACCTCAATGTTCTATAGTATTATTGAGATAGTGTATATTAGATAGTATCTCAACTCTCCCCCACCCCCACTGCCAGTTCCCAGTTTCTCACTATATAACCCAAGTTAGCCAAAATCTTCCATTCTCAGCTTCAAATATGCTGGGATTAGCTGGGTGCCAGTGGCTCACACCTGTCATCCTAGCTACGCAGGAGACTGAGATCTGAGGATCACAGTTCAAAGCCAGCCTGGACAGGAAAATCCATGAGACTCTCATCTCCAATTAACTACCAGAAAACCAGAAGTAGCACTGTGGCTCAAGTGGTAGAGTGCTTTCCTTGAGCTGAAGAGCTGAGGGACAGTACCCAAGCCCAGAGTTTAAACCCCATAACCACCACCACCAACAAAATGCTGGGATTATACCACCACACTTGGCTTGAAAAGGTACTTGTAATATATGACACTTTGTTAAACTTCCTGAAGTAATAACACCTATCAGAAACTAAAATGAGCCGGGCACTGGTGGCTCACGCCTGTAATCCTAGCTACTCAGGAGGCTGAGATCTGAGGATCGCGGTTCAAAGCCAGCCCGGGCAGGAGAGACTGTGAGACTCCTATCTCCAATAAACCACCAGAAAACCGGAAGTGGCGCTGTAGCTCAAGTGGTAGAGCGCTTGCCTTGAGCTGAAGAGCTGAGGGACAGCGCCCAGGCCCAGAGTTCAAGCCCCACCACCGACCAAAAAAAAAAAAAGAAACTAAAATGATTTACTGTCAAAAAATTAAATTAAGAGTAGTAAAAAACACTGAACCAAGTAAACTGGAACCCAACTATAATAACTAAGTTCCCTAAAATATAGTAGTTTCTTAAGTGAAAACGGGCAAGAGCTTACTGCAAACATTAAGGGTTTGTTTTTTTGTTGTTTGTCAGTTTGTTTGCGGCTTGAACTCTGGGCCTGGGCGCTATCCCTCAGCTCTTCAGCTCAAGACTAGCACCCTACCACTTGAACCACAGCACCACTTCCAGCTTTTTCTACTTATATGGTGCTGAGGAATCGAACCCAGGGACTCATGCATGAGAGGCAAGCACTTTACCTCTGAGCCAACTTCCTAGCCCCTAACTGTTGTTTCTGAACCAGTACAAAAGGCACCTGAACCAATTTTTGTTTTGAGGTGGAGGTCAGGGATAGGAGCGGTTTGCTGGTCCTGGGCTTGAATTCAGGGCCTGGGCACTGTCCCACACTTTTTGTGCCCAAGGCTAGTACTATATCACTTTGACCCACAGCTCTACTTTCAGCTTTTTTGGTAGTTAATTGGTAATGAGTTCTTATGGGTTTTCCTGCCTGAGCTGGCTTCAAACCATGATCCTTGGATCTCAGCCTTCTGAGTGGCTAGAATTACAGGCCCAAAACCACTAGCACTAGGCCTGATTTACTTTAAACATTAAAACATATTAGAAGATTGTTATGATGGCTCACATCTGTAATCCCAGCTACTCAGAGGTGAAGATCAGAGGAAACAGAGTTTGAGGCCAGCCTATGCACAAAGTTAGCGAGGCCACATCTCAATCAACAAGCTGTGATGGTGATGTGTGTTTTTAGATACTCAGAAGCTTAAGTAGGAAGACTGTAGTCCAAAGCTATGAACAGGCATAAATAACATGAGCCCCCTTCCAAAAAGTAATTAAAGCAAATAGGGCTGGTGATATGGTTGAATGCCTACCTAGTAATCCTGAGGCTGAGTTCAAACTCCAGTAGTATCAAAAACTAAAAATAAAAACAAGCTTCCTAAAAGACCTCAATGTAGAAATATGAGAACTCTAAGATTTCTAAGTGACAAAGGGAAAAATGTAATGCTGAATTTACTTACTTGCTTGATACTTTATTTGGCTCCCAAAACCTGGACTTTTTGACACTAAACCATGGAAAAACTCTTTCCATTTGCTGAAAGAAAACCAACAAAAAGTAAACATGTGAAACAAATAACTTCCCATCAGTATCTCTGTCAGTATTGGTAATGATTTTAGGCTACCAAAGCCTAAAAGATCCATCTACTCTGACAACCTCACTAATTCCTACCAAAGAATAGGAGAATCTAATTAAAACGAAGATGTTTTATACATGTGACAAAGCAAACAACAAAAGAAAACAAGTCAATGTGTTCCTGAGTCACTGCTCATAGGTAAGCATTACAAATATGAACTATAGCCAGACATCACAGGATCATACCTGTAATCCTACCTACTCAGAAGGTTCAGATCTGAGGATCATGGTTCAAAGCCAGCCTGGGCAGGCAGGAAAGTCCATGAAACTCTTATCTTTAATTAACCAGCAAAAAAACCCAAAAAAACAAAAAACAAAAGCTGAAAATGGAGCTGTGGCTCATTAGAGTGTTAGCTTCGAGCAAAAAAGTTCAAAGATAGCTCTCAGGCTCTGATTTCAAGCCTTAGGACCAATACAAAAGACAGAGAAAGAACATTTACCCGGATAAAGAAGGACTTGACCATGCTGTTGGCTTTTTTAATCTCTGGCTGCCCCCCATCGGAATTAATGGCTGCTTGAATGATCTTTACAATATCATCACTGAACTCCAACTGTGTGCAAAAACAAAAGTCCAATTATCCATAAGATAATCAAGATAATTTATAAAACAATTCATGACACTCAGGTGACACTCTTCCCTACTTAGTCATCCAACATATCACATCCTATTTTAAATAATGTCATTTCTCTTTGGCTGAGGCCTTCAGAATTCTGTACACAATTAACTTGCGGCAATCTGGAGATGCAGGTTAGTAAGGAAAAATGCAAACAAATTAACTTGATCATGCTAAGGTAGCCAAACAGGTTCATAATTTTTCATCTGGACTAAAATAAACACGGAGTAGCAAATGCAGACCACATATAGTAAATGACCATTTCCTATATATTTGTTCCCTCTGTGCATTTTTAACATCATAAAATTAAAAGCATCTAGTTACAAATGAATAAAGTCAGATCCAAGCTCCAAAGAGGAGGATGAATTAACTACACATTCTCATTTACCCTAAATTAGCTAGTGTCCCCTCTTCATGTAAAAATAATTTTCAGAGAATTCAGATAAAAGCCAAATAAAAGAGAGATTATCCTATCATAATCCTTCTTCTAAAATACAGAACTAATTCATATATATATATATATTTAGTGTGCATATGTATATAAATATATACATATTTAGGTATCTCACGCTATGTGACATTTCCAAATACAATTCCGGTTATTTTCTTTTTAATACTTTTAATGGTTATTTTTCCTTTATTAATTTTCTGTGTATGTGGTACCAAGGGATCGAACCCAGGGCCTCATGCATGTTAGGCAAGCACTCTACCACTAAGCCACATTCCGTGTCTAATTATTTTCAAATTTACTTATAAGCAGCTTCATTCCCCAAAGATTCAAGGAAGTGAAGTGGGTGCCTAAAACTTTGGTGGCTTGCTATAGAGACATACCACAGATGTGTAGTTGCCCTGGTCCATTTTCCTCTTGACTCCTTCCAGGTCTAAAGGCTGCTGCTCATCCTGCTTGCTGACCTCAGTGAGCACGGGAGGATCCGGGCCCTCCGGGGAGCTGCGGGAAGGTATGCTCTCCTCCGTCTCAGGGTTTAAGTCTGGAGGCTTGGCAGCCTGTTGCCAAGAAAGATGTTCTTTTATCTAACACTAAAAATGTGGCTTTTATGCAAACCCTATTAACATGGTAAAAGTCCCACTATAAGATACAAAGAACATGATAATAACCAGAAATTTCTTTAGAAAGAAAAGTTAAAACAAGCCTATGATCTAATAGCTGGCTAGGGTAGGTAGGAACTTAGAAACTTTGCTTGATAATTTCCAAAAGTAGTATGAAAGAAAACGGTGAGCAACAATTTTTCCTATTAAAAAAATGGGCCAGGTACCGGTGGCTCACGCCTATAATCCTAGCCACGCTGGAGGCTGAGATCTGGGGATTGCGGTTGAAAGCCAACTCTGGCAGGGAAGTCCATGCAACTCTTTTTTTTTGGTCCGGTTGTGGGGCCTGAACTCTGGGCCTGGGCACTGTCCCTCAGCTCTTCAGCTCAAGGCTAGCGCTCTACCACTTGAGCCACAGCACCACTTCCGGCTTTTTTTTCTTTTTGCTTATGTGGTGCTGAGGAATCGAACCCAGGGCCTCAGGCATTGCAAAGCAAGCGCTCTACCGCTGAGCCACCTTCCCAGCCCATGCAACTCTTATCTCCAATAAACCACCAGAAAACTGGAAGTGGTGCTGTGGCTCAAATGGTAGAGTGCTCACCTTGAGCTGAAGAGCTGAGGGATAGTACCCAGCCCCAGAGTTCAAACACAACAGACCAAAACAAGCAAACAATAAAAAGATAGTTTTATTTATTTACTTTTTTGCCAGTCCTAGGGGTTGAACTCAGGGCCTAGGCACTGTCCCTGAGCTTCTTTTGCTCAAGGCTAATACTCTACCACTTTTAGCTTTCTCTGTTTATGCGGTACTGAGGAATCAAATCCAGGGTTTCATGTATGCTAGACATGCACTCTACCATTAACTGTAGTTTTCTTAAAAGACAGAATAGCAGCCTATCTCTATTCTAGGTAGTTCTGAGATTATATATACCTAGTATTCACAACTTACATGTAGGTAGTAGCTTTAAGCTGACCACCATTAACTGCCGCCCAATGACTGGTCCTGACTCTAGGGTCAGTTCTTGCTAACCTCTGCAGGCCAGTGAGAGTAATTATGTGTGTACATGTGTGTGAGTGTATGTGTGTACATGCGTGTATGAGTGTGTGCATGTACACATGCCAGTCCCGGGACTTGAACTCAGGGCCTGAATGCTGTCCCTGAGCTTCTTTATGCTCAAGACTAGTGCTTTCTCACTTGTGCCATAGTTCCACTCCCAAAAACTTCTTGGTAATTTCTTGGAGGGAGATAAGAGTCTCATGGACTTTCCTGTCTGGGCTGGCTTCAAAAACTGTGACCCTCAGAGCTTAGCTTCCTAAGTGGCTATGATCACAGGTGTGAGCCACTGGTGCCCAGCAAGAGTTAACTTTATTGCTAAAGAGCAACTCTGATCGGGTCACTCTCCTGGATGAAGTCCTTCACTGGCTCCGCATCGCTTGCAGGGTGAGCAGAAAAGCTGCTATTTCTCATAGCAATGCATCCTTTGAACATATGGTCCCTTCCTATGTCCTACTCCTGAGAAGGAGCTTGGCTCTAAAAACTTCCCGAAACAAGACTATAAAGCTAAAGCAGTAAACAAAACAAACTACCAAAAACCAAACCCTGTTCCATTATTAAAGTAAAAACTAAGAATGTGCTCTTAGGGAATTCAGCCTACCTGCCGGTAGCGTAGCAAGTGACTGGTAGTCCGGGAATTCAACAAGGCGGTCAAAACTTGCTTTAGAGAAAGCTGAAGCTCTTTTTCTAGGGCCAGCCGCCACTCTGCAGGGTGCCGCTCAGTACAGTTGACACAAGTGTAGGCCACACTTTCTGGCAGATTGGATAGAATCTCATACATCTCATCTAGAAAAGCAAAAGCCTACAATGATGGGTCCTCTAAGAGCGGAGGGAGGGAGAAGTCGGTAGTCGACTTTGACCCGACTGACCCTGAGCTGCATGGGGTCGCCCGTCCTGCTCTCACGCCGGGAGTCACTAGCCAGCACTAGCCCTGGCTTCGGTGAAGGGAGACCCCAAGGTCCCAGTGCCTTTCCACAATGGACAAGAACTACAGGGATGTGTTCAGGTGGAATGAGCCCGAGCCCACATGCTGCTTATTCTAGAGACTACACTATACGTGGAAAGTAACTTCGAGCAGCACTTGTCTGACGGGGAGAGGGCTCTGGGGACTTTAAGTGCAGCAATACCTAGGAAAAAAGAAATGGTTACAAAAAAAAAAAAAGCGTCCAACCTTCTGTACCTGAAAGGCTCTCGCACTTGGAGTGGACCCAGCGGTCGCAGCGCCCGCACTGCATCATCTTACTCTCGTAGTCGTCGTCGTCATAGCACTTGTCACACAGAGGGCAGAAGTTTCCTGAAACAAGGCAACGCTGGCCTGGGCTGGGGCCCCGCACCTGGGCCCCTCACACCCTGGACTTGAAGTGGGCCCCTGCAACCTAACGACAAGCCGCCCCCTTCTCAAGTCACGGGCGAATGCCAAAACGCTCCGTGCTGGCTTCACACACTGCCGACAAGCGTACTCTGCACGCCTGGAATTCTCAGAGAAGCCTGCACACCGGCGCCTCCTCTCTACATGACCACATCAGAAGACAGATTTTAAAAAATAACGTAACAGAGAAAGGGCAGAAGAGTGAACATTCCAAAGTGATGTTGAGCTTCTAAGCAACTCAGAGCACTGCTTTCTAAAATCCTGTCCTCCATCCATCCGTCTCCAGTTTGCCTTATCCAGGAATCCCCTCCATCACTCTTTTCCCTTTGGTGCCAGTAGTAGGGCTTGAACTCAAGGCCAAACACTCTGACTTGGCTTTTTAGTTTATATTGGGTATGCTATAATTTAAGGCATGCTTCCACTTGTAGCTTTTTGCAGGGGGCAAGAGTCTCTTAGATTTGTCTATCAGAGGTAGCTTTAAAACTCAATCTTCAGAGCTCAGCCTCTTGAGTAGCAAGGATTATAGGTGTGAGCCACTAGTACTCAGCTTCCTCTGTTACTTCCTCTTCTTCTGTTGGTCATGGGACTTGAACTCGGGGCCTGGGTGCTGTCCTTGAGCTTTTCTGTTCAAGGATAGCACTCTATCATTTTTTTTTTTCGGTCGTGGGGCTTGAACTCTGGGCCTGGGCGCTGTCCCTCAGCTCTTCAGCTCAAGGCGAGTGCTCTACCACTTGAGCTACAGCACCACTTCCTGTTTTCTGGTGGTTTATTGGAGATAGGAGTCTCATGGTCTCTCCTGCCCGGGCTGGCTTTGAACCTCGATCCTCAGATCTCAGCCTCCTGAGTAGCTAGGATTACAGGTGTGAGCCACCAGCGCCCGGCGCACTCTATCACTTTAAGGCACAGTGCCACTTCTAGTTTTCTGATGGTTAACTGGAGATAAGAATCTCACAGACTTTCCCGCACGATCCTCAGTAGCTAGGATTACAGGTGTGAGCTACCAGCACCTGGCTCCCTCTGTTATTTCTTAATAGACTTCAGCTGATCTGCCAATTTCATACACGGTAAATTAGAGCTGGCGGTGTGTCACAGCTCTGATAGCCTAGCACTCAGAAAGGTGAAGGAGGAAGGCCACGAGTGCCAGGCCCGCATGGTCTACCTAGTGAGATTGCAGCTCAAAACACCTGTTACTTGGACTGGGAAGGTGGCTTAGTGGTAGAGTGCTTGCCTAGCATGCAGGAAGTCCTGGGTTCAATTCCTCAGTACCACATAAGCATAATATAAATTAAAATTATTTTTAAAAAAGATACTCAGTAGATGGAGAATGTTAGAATCATTACTTATACCTGATTGAGCAAACTGTTAGCAAGACTCTCATCTCAATAGACAAGTTGAGTGTGGTGGGACATGCCTGTAATCCTAGCTATTCAGGAGCATATGTAGGAGGATCACCACCTGAGACTGGCCTGGGCAGATCTTAACTAAAAGCTAAACTTAAAAAAAAGGGCGGGGGGGCTGGGAAGGTGGCTCCGTGGTAGAGTGCTTGCCTTGCATGCCTGAGGCCCTGGGTTCCATTCCTCAGCACCACATAAGCAAAAAGAAAAAACTTGGAAGTGGCGCTGTGCTCAAGTGGTAGAGCGCTAGCCTTGAGCTGAAGAGTTGAGGGACAGCGCCCAGGCCCAGAGTTCAGCCCCACGACCGGACCCAAAAAAAAAAAAAAGCGGGGATGGAAGGGGGAGCCAGGCATCAGTGGCTCATGCCTATAATCCTAGCTAGTCAGGAGGCTGAGATGTGAGACTCTTATCTCCAATAAACCACTCAGAAAACTGGAAGTAGCACTGTGGCTCAAGTGGTAGAGCACTCACCTTGAGCTGAAGAGGTGAGGGACAGCGCCCAGGCCCAGGGTTCAAGCCCCACAAATGACAAAAGAAAGGCTAGGAAGGGGGTGGTGGTGGCTTGGAATGTGGCTTAATGGTAGAGTGCTTGCCATGTATGATGAAGCTCCTGGTTTCGATTCCTCAGTACCACATAAAAAAAAAGCCGGAAATAGCACTATATAGCTCAAGTGGTAGAGTACTAGTTTTGTGTAAAAGCAGTTCAGGGATAGTGCCTAGGCGCTGAGTTCAAGCCCCAAGACTGGTGTGAAAAAAAAAGTCTAGAAACACGACTCAGGTGGTAGAGACTTGCCTAGCAAAGTGGAAAGCCCTGACTCAAATTGAGTTCCAGTACTGGGAAAATAAACTAACCAAAAATCTTACTGGTGATTTCACACCATCATTAAGAAAATGTGTATAATGTATTAATTAGAACTTTTGGTGTAATTAAAATGTCAGAGTATCACCTAAAGTTATCTCTGAACCAACTGTATATGCATCACATTTTGGCTTACTGGCTCAGAGAACTCATTTGCACTTAGCTGTAATGAGAATTTCCCAATTCTTCCTATAAAAGATAACAAAACATTCCCAGTTGCTAATAGTCTGGGCAAAAGAAAGAACTGCTGTAGCCGTGTCTACATGGCCTCCTTGGCCGAACAAGCGATACTTGTCCTCCATCCTCCTGCAGGGGGCAGTGTGGACCAACTGGCTTTCTGGAGTACCTTTAGCGAAGAGTTTGGCACAGTCATGGCACAGTGAGAAGTCGTGGGACCACTGTGCATCCCATCCTTTGCCTGGAGTTGTAGAGCCGCAGCTCTTGCAGCGAACACACTTCGTACAGATCTGCAAAGGAAGAAAAGAAACCCACGAGGAATTTCTTAGTTTAATACCCGTCCTTATTTAAAAGATCTCAAGTGAAAGAACTAGATTTGATTTCTTTGCTGAAACAACGTTTGCTAACAAGGTGAATGCCGACGTCCTGAAACAAGTACTCTCTGACAAGTTATGCCCTCCCGGCCCACCCTGCCCTTCCCTCCCAACAGCACAATGAGAGGGGCTCACCCAAACTTTCTTTTTCTTCGTGGGTTTGGTGGGGTAGTTTGGTCCCAGGCACTCAGGGTGGTAGCTGTTTCGGCACTTATTACATTCCAGCAGCTGCTGTAGGAAAATGGAACGTGAGCACAGCACAGCACGTCATTCCTCCTCCTCAGAAGGGCAGCAATTCCGTTACGCACCTCTCACTCCCAACCAATACAGAGAGATTTATTTCCTGTTCAAGGGACTCCTTGTGAAGTAATTTTACCATATTTGTTATGTTTTCTGTTCTACGTTGAAAATTAAAACAAAATCATGCAAACAAAAAGAGTACCCACTTAAATAGTGGGGAAAAAAAGAAGTCGACAAAGAAAATAACAGATATAAACCCTGAGAAGGCGGAGAACGGAGAGACAGCTCCGTTGCTTAGTGCTGTACCTTCGTAGCCTGATGCTGCCTGCCACACACATGGCAGAACTTGCAGCGACGACAACACCAGTTTTCCAGCTGGTCCTCCAGAGGGCGCTCGTTTTCCTCTAAACAAAACTTGTGGAAGGGTTCACAACACACTTGGCAGTACACAAACTGTATCAAGAAAAGAACACACAGATGTGTCAAATCACATATAGGAAAAAAATACTACAAATACTTTTGAGTTTTATGAGTCCACTCCTTTATGTAGGGTGAGAATTTATCATGACAATCTGAAACCCAAAATGCTCCAAAATCTGAAACCCTTTAAGTGCTGACATGACGCCTCTTGGTTCAATGTACAAACTGTGTTCCTTGAATCAAACTACCGTCAGGCTATATGTATAAATCATATATGAAACAAATTAGTTTCATTGATAGCCTTGGGTCCCAACCCCAAGGTATCTCATTATGTCTATGCAAATATTCCAAAGCTTCAAAAATCCAAAAACAAAAAACAAAAACCAACTAAAAATACTCTCAAGTATTTCAGAGGAGGAAGGGATATTCAGTCTGTATTTACTCAGCATGTTGAATTAAGCAAACATTGGGCAACGCAGGAGACTCAGGAGACTAAAGTAGTTAACACTAGTGCCAAAAAGAAACAAATGAAATGCAGTAACCCCAAGACATAACGGAGTGGTACAACACTCCAGAAGCTGAGGAAGAGCGGAGTTCAAAGCCAGCTTGGACTACATAGAGAGACCTCTGTCTCAAAAAAAAAAAAAAAAGGATTTAACACAATGTGCTAAGTACCATAAGAGAGCTTATAAACAAAGATGTAAGCCGGGCAACCAGTGGCTCATGCCTATAATCTTAGCTACTCAGGAGGCTGAGATCTGAAGATGGCATTTCAAAGCCAACACAGGAAAGTCTGTGAGACTCTTATCTCCATTAAACCACTCAGAAAACTGGAAGAGGTGCAGTGGCTCAACTGGTTGAGTGCTAGCCTTGAGCTGAAGAGGTCAGGGGACAGTGTTCAGGCCCAGAGTTCAGGTCCCATAACTGACAAAAAACAACAACAACAAAAAATCAAAAAAACAAAAAGCAAAGACGTAAATGGGAACAGAATATAAAGGAGTTAGGAAGGAAAAATCAGCAGGGATTTAAATGTTGCTTTTTGCTTTGTGTTTTTACAATATATTAACAGTTATAAGCTGTTATCTTTTCTTAAGTAAGTTATTTTCATATTAACCCAGGCTTTCATACTAACACACTAATACTGACAACAACCACTTCTACATTGAGTCCATTTCTACATTTTTATCATCAGAAGGGCAAATCACCCCCTCAACACCATGTTTTTATTTCTCATTTTGTGGATGATCTATTTCTGTCTTTTACCCCTTTTTTTTTTTTTACTGGATATGTGCCTTATTAATTGCTTACAGATTTTTATATATAAAAGATCTTTGGTATTCAATATAAAATAACTATTAAAAGCATCTCTTTTTACAGAGAAATACTACTGCTTCCCATGTTTGGATATTGAAAAGAAAAATTAGAACTCTAATAAAAGATTGAATTTAAGAGATGAGACTACCCAGTACTATGAAATTTCTTAAAAATTTAAAATTGTCATTAACTGGTTTAAATGAGGCTAGCAACTGCTAAATACTAACAAAAAGAATACTATCTCACTCACCCACCTCAGTCACCTACATTTCCCTCGTCGAGGGTCCGAAGAAGCAAGATCCCTTACCTCTACGTGCCCACTACTGGCGCAGAGAAAGCAAACGACTCTAGGTGTTATAGGAACAGAGGTCAAGATTCCTAAGCCTCCCATCTCCCACACGTTTTCTGCTTCACAATCCTCCTATGAAGAGAGAAAGATCACTTAATGAAAGCTTGACACTGACAAAATGAGGATAAAAAGCAGAAAATCAGAGTGACACCTCAATACCATATTTTGAACAAGTCCAAAAAAAATTTACTCTCAGACATAAACTAGTAAAAGGCTCAACTATGAGTTTGATTTCTACTAAATATATGACAAAGATTAGAGTGGGATTGGATCTCCTGATCTCAGTGGGACAGAGATTTCCTCAGCCACCACTCAGCCTGGCTGTGGCCTCCACTCTGCTCCCACAGGGAACTCAGCTCTGACTGCAGGCCTCTCAGCCCTGAGCCCATCTGAGAGCTGCGCTTCTTATTCATCCCACTGCTTGGTGCTCATCATGTGCTTCAACACCTTTAGTAGCACCTTTTTGTAATAAAACACAACAAAACAAAAAACTAGGCACCAGACGCCAGTGACTCATGCCTGTAATCCTAGCTACTGAGGAGGCTGAGATCCGAGGATTGTGGTTAAAAGCCACCTGGGGCAGTAAAGTCCGTGAGACTCTCATCTCCAATTAACCACCAAAAATAAGCTGGAAGCAGAGCTGTGGCTCAAGTGGTAGAGCATTACTCTTGAGCTGAATAACCTCAGGGACAGTGCCCAGGCCCTGACTGCAAGTCCCGGACTGGCAAAACCAAACCAAACCCCACAAAAACCGAATTTCATTTAAAAGCCGCGACACTCGTTGAAATGCACGATCATTGAACATTTTTTAACTGTACTTTTTTTGTCCTTTATTTATCTATTTATTTTGGTACTGGGGAGCAAACCCAGGACATTGCACTTGCTAGGCAAGTGCTTTGCCGCTGAGCTACATCTCAAGCCTCACTGAACATTTTTACCTTAAAGTCCACTCTGATCCTGTGGACTCCATCTGCTGGGACTTTCTGCTTAGAACTATTGCCATTGGAGAGGGCGCTGAGGATGTTCAAAGTGCCTGCACTCTCCTGCTTATTAACTGGAGGTGGTTTTTCCTAAGGAGACAAGATAGAGAAAAAGCCACACTCTACCTGCCTTCATGGTTGAAGAGTCTTAAGCGCTCTGTCCGTAATAAATACAGTGGGCATAGGTAAGGGTGGCTTTTATAGGCAAGTATTATACTAAACGATGTGAGGGCAGAACACGGTTATACCACATGGCCAATAGAATACACTAGGCTACAACAACATCAGAAAAGACCATGGGTAAAGCCTAAACCTTTAATTTATTCATGTCAACAAGTTCCGCCATCAAGACGCAGAGGCCGTGTGCAGCTCCACTCCACGTGGAAGCCAAGGACAAGGCTTTCGCGACAGACGGCACACACATGAGAAATGGAGACAAACACATGGCTCCTCACCTTTTCTTTGGGTTTTTGTTTTACAGGGATACTTGGGCGGGGAGCCACTTTTTTCTGCTTGCTCTGCTCTGGACCTGAAGAATTCAAAGTAGATTGCATCAGATGATGGCAAGTTTAGGACTGGCTGGCCAGTGAAGAGAGGGACATTAGAAAAACACCACAACTCTAGCTTCCAGTAGGAAATTAAGGCAATATTTGGGCTGGGATGTGGTTCAGGGGAACAGTGCGTGTCCAACACTCACAGGCCCTGGGTGTGATCTCCAGAACCCTGCCACGTGTGCCCCCCCCCACACACACACAGGAAAAAAGAAAAAAAAAGAATTTAAGGTAATTATCACCAAGTTTTTGTTTTGTTCCTATTTGTTACTCCAGAGTAGTTAAAAAGAGAGTTCATTTTCTTGAACTGGAGACAGACAATTCCGGTTTCTGACCGACATGTGGGACAGCAGCGCGTCTTTCTAGCTCCTGTGGCTCAGCCATCCTCCTGCTCTCCTCGCTCACCTGATTCCGGTGGTGGCGGCTGCTTTTTCTTGGGTTCACTTGGCGTGGTCTTAGGAGCCTCTTTTCTCGCGGGTCCCGTGGTGGGTGGCTGAGGGGGGGCGGCTGGCGCCGGCTGGGAGAGTTGTTTGCTGGACTTCCTGGAAGCTGGGGTGGTGGCCTGCTTGGGTTCGGGTGCCGGGGTGGGGGCGTGACCTTCTTCACTCTTTTCTTCCGCGGGCTTCCGGGCAGGAGGCTCACTGTTGCTCTTCTTCGGGGCCGGATCCTCGCGTGCTGCTGGAGCAGGTTTCTGACTCGAGTCCACCAAGTTCTTCACAACAGTGCTTTCCTTGCTCTCCTTCTTTTCGCTGGTCTTAGACTTTTTCTCTTTCTTTTTCACAGCTTGGGGAAAACAAACAAGAAGACTATGTTTTGTAAGTGAGAAAAATTTTTAATTAAAACAGAAGTATAGAAATATATCATAATCTTATTCATGGTTTCCTACAAGTCTGGAAAATTAATGCTGTGCTGATCGGGTGGGCAGATATGGTCAACAAGTTGAGCAGGTATACTCCTATTGCTCTAGGAAAAAGGGTGAAATAAACTTTACATGAGCTTTGAAAAAGGTTTTGAGATGGAAATGATTAAACAAGAGTCAAATGAACCCCATGTCCCTACCATCCAGCTTCAACCACCACCAACTCCCTGGGAAAGAGCAGTACTTTAAAAGAAAAACCAAAGCAAACCAAACCCCTAATATTCTCTTTACATGGAGTATGCACAAGTGAAGGGGATGAAGCAGGAAGGGTTCTGGGAGACGGCTGTGCCGCTACCTTTAGCTTGCTTCTGAAGGTAGGCCTTGGAGGGCATCCACTGGAGATTCTGGCATTTTCTCATCCTAGGGGAACAAGGGGAAACCCGTAATGTCAGTTGCATTTGAAAGAGAAGCAACCAGGACAAGCATTCATCTGGGTGCATGATCATTTCAGGTTCACTTCGAGGGCTAGAACAAGGACAGTTTATTACATCTGAGTCTTTGGAAACCTGGGTCAGCAATTTTACCTACCTGTAGGCTAAAAGAAGCAAATATAAAATCATTTTTGAAATAGGACTCAAGTTTCTTTTTTTCTTTTTTCTTGTCGATCGTGTGGCTTGAACTTTGAGCCCTAAGCTCTTCAGCTCAAGGCTAGAGAGCACTCTACCACTTGAGCTACAGTGCCACTTCCAGTTTTCTGGTCGTTTACTGGAGATAAGAGTTTCATGGACTTTCCTACCCTGGCTGGCTTTGAACCATGATCCTCAGACCTCGGCCTCCTGAGTAGCTAGGATTATATGCGTGAGCCACCAGCGCCCAGCTTTCAAGTTTCTTTTAATACTGACTAACACCATACCCAAAATGATCAGTGAACATTTCTTGAAGCAAAATGAGCTGCTGCCTTATAAGATATTTAATATTTGGTATCTACCCCCAAATAGACAAAAGTCATCACAGTCCTTTGTCACCACTACAGTGCTACAGGTGTATCTTGGGGCTTTGATATGTTCTACCACTCAATTTGAATTTAATGAAACTCAAAATTAATTTGAAGTCTAAAGTTACATTGACTCTATTGTAATAAGGCCCTAACTTCAGTGCAATTTGATCTTACTCTCGTGGGTCTTTTGGAATTATGTGATTCTTTTACTTCTTGCTACCACTGGGTCTGATATAAGATTAAGGGTTAGAGCAACGAAGCATACAAGTACTTTTCTCCTCGAAACTGCCTCTCCTGAAGAACTGCAGTGTTTCTGCTGATTATGCTTTATGTTAAATTATTATAACATCATTTATTTGCTCATTCAGTAAGCATCTATTTCTTTTTTTTTTTTTTTGGTCAGTCATGGGGCTTAAACTCTGGGCCTGGGCACTGTCCCTCAGCACTTCAGCTCAAGGCTAGCGCTCTACCACTTGAGCCACAGTGCCACTTCCGGTTTTCTGGTGGTTAATTGGAGGTAAGAGTCTCACAGACTTTCCTGCTGCCTCCTGAGAGGCTAGGATTACAGGCCCAACTAAAGCATCTATTTCTTATACCAGGCACTTGGCAAAATGCTTGACTGCCAAAATATCTGTTTACATAATTCAATTTTAAACAAACCATCCCAAAAGGCAGAAGGTATACCCATGAACTGACTGAAAGGGAAGAAAAGGCAAAGTATTAAAAATTTTTTTTTCTCTCAAAAATTCCTCATGCATGAAAAGATTCCCAAAGAGTCATAAAGTACAGATTTAGGAAAGATGTCCCTTAAGTGTCCTGGCATGCATAAAGATAAGTGATTGCAGTAGACCCCATTAAATACTATGCCTACATCTGTCAGGTTTTAAGTAGAATCCCTTCAGTGCTGCACTGACTGATAGGGTAGTCACTAGTCACATGTAATTAAGTCCAAATTAATTGAAACAGAAAATGTAGTTCCTTAGCCACATTCACCACATGGCCAAGCGCTCAAGAGCCACATGTGACTAATGACTGACACAGCCAACTGAGCTACTCGGGATGTTTCTACTATTGTAAAATGTGCTACAGGGCAGCACTGCTCCGGAGTATTTCTTACTTAAGTACATCGCAAAATTCCAGTCTACAATTAATCTTGCAGCCAAGGAGGCTCAAGGCAACTCTGGTCTCCTTATCTGTCTCTACAGCAAAGCAGAGATGAAGCAGCAGCCTTCGTGCCTGCAAGGCCGGCGCTGCTGAAGATGCCACTCACTTGCAGCACTGCTTCTTTATGTTGCGGCCACCAAACTTGGGCTTGTCTAAGCAATTAGTGCAAACACCACAGTCCTCAGGCACCTGGCAGCCAGGACACTGCCCACAGCGCCTTGACCGCCGTCCTTTCTTCACTGGAGGTTCCTGAGGTGCCTTGTTTCTGGTGACAGGCTTAATTGGTTTGATGGGTGGAGCAAGAGGTTCAGCATCTTCAGAGCCAGCAATTGATGACTTGTCTGTCAAAGAAATGTGTCATTAGGTTTCAAGGGAATCTCTAATCCCTTCCTGAGGAATAGAGGGGGAAGGCCTCAAAAGTTATTCAGTCAAATTTCATTTAATTGGTAGAACTTGGATGTTTTTCCTTTTATTGGAATTAGGGTCTCAACTCTACTACTCAAGCTATGTCTCATTTTCTTTTATCAGATAGGGTACTGCACTTTTTGTCTAGGATAGATAGTCTTACACCTATACCTATACCCTCCTACCTATACATCCCAAGTAGCTGGGATAGTAGACATGTGCCACCACACTCAGCTTATTCTTTGAGAGTCTCCTTAACTTTCTGCCTCACTGGCCTCAAACTACCGTAATCTTCCTATCTCCACCTCCCTGGTAGCTAGGACTATAGATATAAGTCACCATACCAGCCAGAACTCAAGATTTTTTATTTTTTTGCCGACTCTGGGGCTTGAACTCTAGGCCTTGGCGCTGTCCCTGGGATCCTTTTGCTCAAGGCTAGCACTCTACCACTTGAGCCACAGTGCCACTTCCAACATTTTCTGTGATTAATTGGAGATAAAAGATTCTCTTGGACTCGGCTGGCTTCGAACCACAATCCTTAGTTCTCAAGTCTCCTGAGCCCTAGGATTACAGGTAGGAGCCATCAGTGCCCAGCTTAGAAATCATTAAAGTAACTACTTAAATGCTTTTAAATGCCTGTAATTGCAGTCTAATAAAAATAAAAAAAATCTAACCTAAAATTTCAAAGAAACCATGAACTGTATACATCTAAGGATTCTCTAAACCCCTAAAGTCATTAAGGGTAGGTACCCAGCATATTGGAACTACATGGCAGTCATGATAATGTGCCTTACAGATCGCCAAGGCCAAGGCCCCACTCTGAATCTGCTGGTGGAGTGCTTGCCTAGCAAGAGCAAGGACCTGAGTTCCAACCAGTTCCGCCAAAAAATAAAACCAAAATCCATTGGTGCAACCATGTTCGCTTCTAGACACTGGCTTGGTACAGCAAAACACTAGGACGGACTTGTTCCTGAGAGACACAAAAGTCTTCTAACAGCCTTGAACTTCTATCCAAGGACTCCCTGACTGCCTTGCAGACCTTCTGCTGTACTGTGGTGGTATCAGAAAGGCTCTTCCCAACTGCCCCTGGATACCTCTCCCTCTCACTTATGGGATGCTGTCACACGTGTAATCTCTTCCAGCTATCTAGTTTTTCAAAGACTCAAACTATGAAGAGTCTTCCCGGCATTCCCAAAATAGTCAGCGCACACAGCAGACGTCTGCTTGCACCCCACGGTTGACCTTGCTGACCTACCATCATTCCCCATGGAAGACAAAATTTTTTCTCGTTCTTCCCACGGTAAGGCACTCAAGGTGGGCATGTCATCAGGAAACACAGCTCGTTTTCGGCCAAGGGCAACAGCAGCTCTTCTGCAGACATGTTTAATCCGGGGTCCTCGCACCGAGGTCTCTGATGAATCACTTTCTTGACCCTAAATGAGGCAGGCCAGAAACAATGACAACCATACACACTGGATATATAATTAAAGGAAGCCAAGGTATACTTGATAGATTTATTATCATCTAGCATCAAACACACAATGCTAGCTATTCTCAGCTCAGCTGATAAGCCACATCAATATATAGAAATAATATCCTTTGCACCCTAAAATGAACAGCTCCCAAAAGAAAAAGGCCTCTCATTTTGAAGAAATCCATCCAGTGTGGTGGTTCCCACCTGTAACCTTAGCACTTAGGAGGTAGAGAGAAGAGAACCAGGAGTTTGAGGCTAGCATGGGCTGGCAAAATCGTCTCAAAAAACAAAATAAAACAAAACACCAAAAACTGAAGGAAACAAAAACCACCCAAGCAAGCAAACAAACTAAAAACCAACTAAGCCTTTATCCCAACTGTACTGCTTCTTTCCAATTCCCCTCAGAATTCAAGCTACCTGTCTTTATTACAAAACCAATTTGGTACCAAGGGGCTATTCTAAGTACAGGCGATTTCCTATTTCCTCAATCAACAGAGTAGTAGTATAAATAACTGGAAATGGTAGTATGTAAGGTGGCAGCTCCAAACAGAAGTGTCTTACATTTTAAGTAACTTCTGCTCCTATTGCTAGGAGGCTAGCCCCAAATACCTCCAAATATCAGTATTTTCAGCATAGATGTGCATCTACTCGATCAACAGGCTTCCCCAGCAAAGGTCAGTGTCCAGCTCCTTCTTCTTCTTCTTTTTTTTTGGGGGGGGGCGGGGTCCTGGGCCTGGGCGCTGTCCCTCAGCTCTTCAGCTCAAGGCTAGCACTCTACCACTTGAGCCACAACGCCACTTCCGGCTTTTTTCTTTTTGCTTATGTGGTGCTGAGGAATCGAACCCAGGGCCTCAGGCATGCAAGGCAAGCGTTCTACCACTGAGCCACCTTCCCAGCCCCTGCAGCTCCTTCTTTTGTACTGGGTTCTTCAAGCTATTTCCCCAGTTCTACTACTTCACTTAAAAATGCTGCTACTGTAAAAACTGTTCAGCATCGTCTCAGTAACTGAGCTCTTCAGCTTTCGGTTTCTCATTTGTAGTCTCACAATATCTATCACCTTTTACCCTATAGTCACCCACTATTCAGAGGCAGAGGATTGCTTCAGTTTTCTCTCCTGTGAAGGACAGTACAAGTGAGGGGCTACACAAATGTGCCCTCACAATGAAATCACAAAAGGACTGCACCACAGTCAACCATGGGGCACCAACCACGCTTCCCAGTACGGTTCCAGCCTGTCTTCCAGCACAGTTTCGCACTTTGCTCTGTGTGTGTGTGTGTGTGTGTATGTGTGGCCTCAATGCAGCTGCTCGTGTATCCTCATCCATGCCTCATGCTTTCTCAATGCTGCCTATACATACAACGTTAGGTCCTCGAAGGATACTGCACAACCTCCCCCCAACCCTGCCCCCCTCCCCCCGGGGACCTCACCATTCCCTAATTCCCCTAACTATTTATAACTCAAACACATGGCCAAACTAAAACCTGCCCACAGAAGAGGCTCAGAGGTTAGGTGAAATGAAGTACCTGTGCTTTGGGCTGGTCGGTCTGTTTAAGACTCTTACTCTTCTCGATCTTGCAGAGCTGGGCTTTGGCCTTTTTTAGGAGGCTGGCAACCCTCTTGTCAGTCATTGGAAGCTTGTCTGCCTGAGCCAACATGGAGCCTATGGAGGAAGTGGAATGTTTAACAGTGCTAGATGAAGGAGTGGAAAGGCAGAGGGCTTTCTCCTTCTCCAGGGACGGGGCAGTTGGGCCGAGGTCCAAGTTGTTTTTTTCCAGATTTCCTCTCCCTTTCTTTATAAGTATTTTGGTTTTGACAGCTGTTGTATCCCCAAGAGTCACAGAAGCAAGATCAGTCCCAGAATCAAGTGATGAAGACTTCTTCCGCCCTGTGGCCTTTTTGGCAGAAGATGAAGTGGCACCATCTTCACCAACAACCTTCTCTTTGGAAACCCGACCCATAGGATACAAAGCCGAACTACTCTGAATTTCTGATCCCTTTTTCCTTTTCTCTTTCCTGGACTCCCGCTTATTCTCCTTCTCTCTCTCCCGGTCTCTCTCTCTACTCTTGTCCTTCTCCACGCTCTTGTCAGCATCTCGGTCTTTGGACAGCTCCTCGGGGGCCTTGTCTTTATTTCTCCCCCTCTCAGTCTGAGAGCCTGGGGTGAACCAAGGGAAGAGAGGAGTGGGACTACTTGATGAAAACGGCTCTGATGACGGAGCGCTAGTCTGCTTCCTTGCTCTCTGGCTTTTCTCTGTAGATTCCCCAGACTGAGTCAGGGAATGAGAAGGAAAAGTAAAAGTTGGGTTTAAGGCACTAGTGGCAAGAGGACTAACAGAAATGCTCAACGAAGAAGAGACAGAAGACGGGGGAGTGAGAGGTGACAGCTCAGAAGTGCTAAGCCTTCCGCTCCTTGTCCTCATGGAGTGAGAAGGAGATCTTGGCTCAGATCGAATAGGACTAAACACTTTCCTTTTTCTTTTCCTATTAGAGACTCCGGAAGAGGACGTCCCAGCAGAAGTCCGATTACTAGGCAAGGTCACAGACTCGAATATTCTAGAGTGTGCCTCACTTGGAGTGAATCTCGGAGCTCTGAGAAGAGGGCTCCTTTTGTGCATATCAAACCTTGTTCCAGAATGGAGTGGGGAGAACAACCGGGCCGAAGCAGCAGTGCCAGATGCAGAGAAACCAGACGCAAAGCCAACGTCCTCAGGAGTTAGTGGAGGGGGGCGGAAATTATCAAATATTGGTTTGCGGATCAGACCTTCTTTGGCATACTTTGCTGAGGAAAAGTATTGTGGCTCTGACCTAGAATGCTTTAACGAAGTCCACCTGAACGTAGGCTCTCGCAAAATGGACTTGCGCTTCCCTTGCAGGGAAGCCGCAGAAGCAGGCAAAAATGGTGACGCTAAGGGGATGGTGGGGGGCATGAGCCAAGGGGTGTGGTCAGAGATGCCGGAGGCTGGCTGCAGGGGAGGGGGGGGAGTGAGCAGAGGGGGAGGGGGGGAGGAGGAGGGCTGCTGCTGGGGAGCACTCTGCAGAGCTGACAATTTCTTAGTGGTTCTAGATCCAAAACTCCTCTCTGACACGGAATACCTTCTGCTTCTCCTCTCACTGCTCTCGTTCTCGGGGGACTGGGAAACAGGCAGTGGGGTGTGAACTTCAGGGGTGTCACTGCGCTCTTCAGGGAGCGCCTGGGCCTCCTCGGAGGCCTGCGAGTCTGTGGTGGTGTCGATGCTAGGACTACTGGAGCGGGAGGAGTCTGAAGACAGTTGGGAGGAGTGCTGGGAAGCTGCACTGGACTTTTCAGAAGAGCCGCAGGAAGTGGCACTGAATCTACTATTTGGGGTGGACTCGAGCCGGGCAATTTTGATGGGCGGGTCATAATCCTCGTCCTCGATGAAGCGCCGGGGCGTCTTGATGATCCTCGAGGAGATGGCGCTGACCACGGGCATGATGAACTGGCGGATGTTTTTCACCTGCGTCTTCACCTTTCTGCCTTGCAACTGAGCCGCTTCTTTTTCGATTTTCTTTTGAGCCCCCTTCTTGGCCCTCTGCAAGAGCTGCTTAGCGATTGTCGCATCGGTCCTTTTAGAAGAAGGAATAATCCTGACTGGCTTAATCCTTCGGGGGCTTTGCCTGACAACTGTCTTGTCTTCTTTCGGGAGAGGAGGGGTGCCTTCCTTGTCCTTGCGGACCTTCTGGGGCTTTTCCAGCTCGGAGCTGAGGAGGAGACCTGAAGGGGTCTTTATCCGCTCTGTGGATGGAGGCCGTCCTCGCCGTCGAACGATCTGTACCCCTTTCCTTCCTATTTGAAGCTTCCCCGTCTTAAACTTAGACTTGAGAGGAGAGAGTTTACCTGCTCTTAGTTTTTTAATCTTTGTGGCTTGCTGAAACATTGCAGAAGGTGTCCGTTTAATTTTCTTTAGGCTATCTTCTCTGTTTCCCTTTGGCAGCTCTGAAATGTCTTTTCCGTGTGTTATTTTGATTTTTACTCCAGGGAAGGTGGGTGGTCTTCCTCTCTTCTTCTCTATACTTTTAGAATCTTTCTTCTTGATCTTATCTCCATATTTGGTCTCTGATTTACTTAGAGGGGAAAACACAGATGGGTCTGGGAGGATAGCTGAATTTCGGTCAGAGCCACTTCTAGGTCTCCCACGAGGTTTTCGAGGACTAGTTTTAACTGTGTATAGAAATTAAACAATGAAGAGCATATATTTAGCCGTGTAGTTCAGGTCTTAGCGAAACTGAATATAATTTAGCACAGGCCGTTCTGTTCTGAACTCAATTTGGGTCTACTGAGTCAACACATCTTAATTGTGCTTAGTTTCTTTTCACCAAAATTTTTCCTCCAAGAAAGCAAGTTAAATAACATTCCACCTGAAAGAATGTTTAATTACTTTTTTGATATAAAAACCAAGATAACAATAAAGTTTTCAAATGAGTAAGGAACCTAGAAAACTGATGTTCTTCTCATGTAACTGTAACCCCTCTGTACAGCATCTTTACAATAAAATTTAAAACAATAACAACAACAACAAAAACCGATGTTCTTACAACCTTAGATGAAGAAGACTTTTTTTTCCCTGAATTCATAAATACTGCAGTTGCTGTTTTAAGCTGCACTGCCTTGCCCTAGCCATCAAGAGGAACATTTAAGAACATGCTTCTAGGAAGTCATCTCAACTTTTCAGTTTAGAATTCAGTTTAGAACCTGAATAAATTTGAACAACAACAATACCAACTTTCACAGAAAAATGCTCTTGGGCAGCTGAGCTATCTTCAACCTGTTTTACCAAAGGAAACTAAGGAAGTTTTGTTGGCTAGAAAAATATTCATCTATGAGACAAGAGAATAAGGCTACTGATCGTGCTGTCACACTGCTTGGTGAAGGAGGACACAGTGATGTGTATGTTAACCTGCTCTCCCCTCTAGGGCTTCTTGAACTAGTCTGTACCAACTTACAGGAAGATTTAACTTGAATAAATGACAATAGCAAACCAGCAATTTATTAGATCAGATCTCTACTAATCTAAATAAAAGGAGTTGCTTAAAAATTTATACAGCAAACTCAACGTGCCACTCCTCAACTTACTCTGTATCAACAGATTTACAAAAACAAGGCGATAGCTGGGCACCGGTGGCTCACGCCTGTAATCCTAGCTACTCAGGAAGCTGAGATCTGAGGATCACCGTTCAAAGCCAGCCCAGGCAGGAAAAGTCTGTGAGACTCTTATCTCCAATGAACCAATGTGGCTCAAGCAGTAGAGCTCGCCTTGAGTTCAAGCCCCATGACCAAAAAAACTCCAAAAAACAAAAAACGGCTACATCTGCAATCCTTTCATAACTCTGTATGTTTGAAGTAGTTAAGAGTTGCCTATGCTCTATTTTCTCTTTTCTCACTTTTCAGTATTTCACAGACAACATTCTAACACGAGACCTCCCCCTTCACAGGTACCAAGAGAGATCACAGCCATTACAAACACTTTTACTACGGAGTCCCTTTCTAACAGAAATCAACTAAGGTCTTGTTGTTGAGCTTTCTTTCTTTCTTCCTGTCTTTCTTTCTTCCTGTCTTTCTTTCTTTCCTTCCCCCTCCCTCTTTCTTTCCTTGTCAGTCCATGGGGCTTAAACTCTGGGTCTGGACGCTGGCCCTCAGCTCTTCAGCTCAAGGCTAGCACTCTACCACTTGAGCCACAGCACTACTTCCAGCCTTTTCTGTTTATGTGATACTGAGGAATCGCACCCAGGGCCTCAGGTGTGCAAGGCAAGCACTCTACCACTGAGTTACCTATTGTTGAGCTTTCTAAATATAAATGCATTGCTCAGATAACCTATGAGACTTCCCACACAGCTTAAGGATTTACAAATCCATTCTCAATATATTCTAATCATAATGAATTTAACAGACCAGGAGACAACAGGAAAAATACATTGCATTTCTTAAGTAATGAAGCATATCCAGATGGTTTACAAAAAGAAAAGGAAAGCAATTCAAGGTAAACTGACAAAGCAAAGAAAAACAATAGGACACCATCTTGGAAGAGTCATGAATTCAAAAACTCTTGCATAGAACCCTGGAAGATGCCTTATATTGTGTAGAGTAGAATGGAGCCTCTCAGAGAGCTTTATCATCAATTTTCTCTCTCTCTTTTTTTTTGGGGGGGGGGTCGGTCATGGGGTCTGAACTCTGGGTCTGGGTGCTGTCCCTCAGCTCTTCAGCTCAAGGCTAGCACTCTACCACTTGAGCCACAGCGCCACTTCTGACTTTTTCTGCTTATGTGGTGCTGAGGAATAGAACCCAGGGTCTCATGCATGCAAGGCAAGCACTCTACCACTGAGCCACCTTCCCAGCCCTTCTTCTCTACTTTTAAAAACAAGCTTTTGACAGACAAGTTGAAAAAATAAGATAGGTGTTGGTGGCTCGTGTTTTTAATCCTAGCAACTCATGAGACTGAGATCTGAGGATCGTGGTTTGAAGCCAGGGCTAGCAATGTGGTTTAGTGGTAGAGTGCTTGCCTAGCCCGCATGAAGCCCTGGGTTCAATTCCTCAGTAGCACATAAACAGAAAAGGCTAGAAGTGGCGCTGTGGCTCAAGTGGTAGAGCATAAGATAAGCCTTGAACACAGAGAAGCTCAGGGACAGAGTCCATGCCCTGAGTTCAAGCCCCAAGACTGGCAAAAAAAAAAAGCCAGCCCAGGCAGTCAAGTCTCTTCTCTCCAATTAACCACCAAAAAACCCAGAAGGAGAGCTATGGCTCAAGTGGTAGAGTGTTCAGGTACAGCATCCAGACTCTGGGTTCAAGTCCCAGGTTGAAAAAAAAAAGTAGAAAAAGTGAAATAGAGAAAAAGTGAAAAAGAGAAGGGAACCAGCTCCGCGGTTAGCGGTTAGCAGCAGCCTCCGTTAGCAGCAGCCACCCTCAGTCCACTCCCGGCAGCATTGCTAAAAAGATACTTTGTTGCCGTCATTTTGTTTCCTGTAGATGAGGAGTTAGATCAGAAGGTCCCTAAAATCCCCTTTCTGGATTAAGTTTTAAGGTTTATTTATTTATGGCTGTCCTGGGACTTAAACTCAGGGCTTCATGCTTGCTAAGCATGTGCTCTACCACTTGAGCTTGGACTTCATCACAGCTTAAAGAGACTGTTGCCACTATCTAGAGAGCACAGGTGCTCAGACATCACTGGCTAACTCCTCCCAACTAGAATGACAATCCCACTTCCATTTGGGAAACAGAAATGGTCAACTTGAGTGTTTGAATTGTATTACTATACAACGTAACATTTAAAAAAAATTAGATTACCCACATCAAATCAAGCAGAACCACAGAAGAACCTAGAGTATCTCAAGATGGGGGCTGTTTTTTTTCCCATAAAAAGGTCTCTAGCCCTCTCCTACACACAGCTACATTAAGTGAACCATCAAATGTTATTTTCATTGAGGGTCTTCAATTAGGAAACTCAAGATGTTCTAGATGTTTTGTTGCTGAGGACAATAACAAATATAAAACACCCCATATAATTTTTAGTTTCTTTATTTTAATACAGCATTTCAAGAGGCAAGTAAAATATAGTACCAATACTTTCATGAAATACCAATATTTTGTTTCTACTTCTTTGACAACAAACCAAATTTCATCTGTAAAAAATAACGGCCAAATTATTCCTAGATGCAAAAATACTATCATATAATATATAGAATGTATAAATCTGAGGATGATCTTATCTTCAAGCATATCAGGCTTCCCAATCATTCGAAAGAAACCTCACTCCTATGCCCAAGTAGGACCAAGAGAAACATATCAATCATACTAAAGCAAACGTGGTCTGACAGAGAAGCACACCCAAAAGACATCTCATTCACAAGCCACCTCTTATGCCCAAGGTGGGCAAACTCCTCCCTCCAAAGCCCCTCTCAATCTCCTAACAAATAAAACTGAAAAGCACATCCGGTGCCCAGTTGCCATACCTGAAGGAGACCTTGTGGGACTTCGCACTCTGACTTCTTCATCTGAGCCAAAACCTAAGAACTGCTCATCCTACAACAAAGGAAAATTATTTTACAATCAGAGTCAAGAACATGAATGTGAACAAATCCCAAAGAAATGCCCAGAGGAGACTAATGAATTTGGAAACTTAGCTTATCCATATTAACCATCATCCAAATGGACACTATAAAATAACATAGTAAAATAACTGGACCCAGCCATACAGCTTCTGTACAAATAGGAGCTGTGTAATAACTTAATTAATACATTGAAAACTCAATCTTAGTGCATAACACAAAGGAATAGTCCTAAATTTTAAACTACAGATACAACCCAAAACAAAGGACAACTTTAATTCAGATAAGCAAATCAGTGTAATGGAAGAAATATACAGCCCCAATAAAACAAATGCTTTTCAATAAGTACTTAAAGCTAAAAATACACAGGGAGTAATATACCTACTAAATATTAACAGAGACTGAATGGGCCGTAATTGTCAGTTCCTGAAGTCAGGAATTGATACTTAGATGTGATTTCTGTATATCTGATGCAGAGATTCTCCACATGTACTTTATGGTCATTTAAAATGCCCTGCGATAAGAGACTTAATGGTGGGCAGCAGCATTGGTGGAAGGACTCAGGAACTGACCACACAGGGTGAAATTTTCACTAGTAACAGGGAAGCATCTTTTCAGTTCCACTTGGAAAAGACTGAAAAAAAAAATCTCCCTACCTCTAACTTTTAACCCTACTTTCGCAAAATACAAAAGATTCACTTAATCTTTTTTGGATAAGCACTCGAGAAAGATGTTGTACTAAAGCAAGCAGATTAACAGAAATTCACTATTCAAAGTTATTTCTAGAGATACAGAAAGAGAACTTCAGACTCCAGAAACAAAATCCACATAAAATTAGAACAAAGTAAGGAATGAAGAACTAGCCTGAATCTTAGTTATAACCAAGCTTCAATATTTAAAGCCCACATTTTGCTCTAAGGTGCTAAACTCAAGCGTGGACAATGTCGGTGGATTTTCTGCTGAAGAGTTCTTAGTTAATTTAAAGCTGGAATCGGGCTAGTCTGCTTAATCGTTTTTCAATCAGGAATATGGTGAAAGGTAAATGTAAAATTTTAGACAAATTATCAAGTTCAATTCTTAAAACTTAAATGTTTTTGAGGGACAAAGTATTTGGGAGCTAGCCTTTGGAAACAATGCAACTGACACAATTCTCTGTGTGTGTGTGTGTGTGTGTGTGTGTACACTAGAACTTGAACTCAGGGCTTTGGGTTCTCACTTAGCTTTTTTGCTCAAGGCTGGTCACACCCCCACTTTTAGCTTTCTGCTGGTTAACTGGAGATAAGATTCTCATAGATATATCTGCCCAAGCTGACTTCAAACCACAATCTTGAGATTTCAGCCTTCAGAGATGCTAAGATTGCAGTGTGAGTGAGCCACTGCCACCCAGTTGCAATTCTTATTATACTCTAAAATGTTTTTTTTTTTTTTTTCTATAAGAAGAGCAGTGGGTTTGGAAGCAATAAGTCTGGGGCAGCCAATGAGGGCAGTAGTGTGTTTGGGGCAGCCAATGAGGACAGCAGTGGGTGTAGGACAGCCAATGAGAGAGTAGTGGGTGTGAGGCAGCCAATGAAGAGAGCAGTGGGTGTGGGTCCTCAGTTAGCAGAACACTGAATCAGATGCAGGAGTGAGGGAAGCAGTGAGCCCCATGAGGAGAGTGGGTAGGGGACAAGGCTGTTTTCAGTCTCAGTTCCAGTACATTTGGTCTCTATACGCTTAGAAAAGTTACTATCTTTCTCTCGATACCTTTATTTATTGGAGTACTATACATAGTAAATAAGGCTTGTAAATCATCTGGAAACTCAAAGGTGACATAATCTTATTTTATTGTTCTTATTTCTGTTATGGGTGAGATATTAAAGAGGTGCCATGATTTGTTATAAAGAGCCCTTTGTGGGCTGGGAAGGTGGCTCAGTCGTAGAGTGCTTGCCTTGTATGCATGAGGCCCTGGGTTTGATTCCTCAGTACCACATAAGCAGTAAAAGCTGGAAGTGGTGCTGTGGCTCAAGTGGTAGAGCGCTAGCCTTGAGCTGAAGAGCTGAGGGACAGCGCCCAGGTAGAGTTGAGTGGAGGGCCCACAACTGACCAAAAAAAAGTGGGGGGCCCTTTGTTATATTAGCCCATGTATTTAAATTGGGCATATGTATTTTATTATTTATTTATTTACATTATTTATTCGGGCATTATATAAGAGCCCATATCTAACTGGGTCTAGGTATTATTGGCGTTCAATAACCTCCCTATAATATTAGTTACAACTTAAAATTATAAATGTTTAAAGGCATCAAATAAATCATCTACAGTACAAAAGTTGCTATTTGATTAAAGCAATGTGATAGCCATTTTTCAGATCATTCAAGTTTCTAATCAAGTCATTTCTCTCCTACATTGTCTTCAACAGGTTAGAACAATGTTCTAATCCATTTCACATATTAACCAACTGAAAAAGTAACTAATGAACAATTTCTAATCTTTATAAGAAATGTAAGAGAAGACAGTTATGTTTATCATCAACAACCCCAGAGGGTTACTTTGTATATTTCTAACTTTCATAAAATCTACCTACACAATCCTAACTGCAATGTGTTCTAAAACAACAGAAACAACAGAGTGTCACAGAGCTGTCAAGAAGTAATTTAGCTATCAACATTTAAATTTCCAAGTATTAAAAAAAACTAACAGGAAGCATTATTTGTTTTCCTTCCAGTCTTAGTTGGAATAAGATTAGAAAAGAAGACAGAATGAGTAGGAATACACTGGGAGAAAAAAAAAAAAAAAGAAGAACTAGACTTCTGCCTAAGACCTTCCTCTTCACTGATGAGTAGGCTGACTTCTTGAAGCATGCTTTTTATTTTTTGTTAATTGATGATAGGGGTCGCACAAACTTATTTGCCCAGACTGGCTTCAGACTGTGATTTTCAGATCTGAGCCTTGTGAATAGCTAGGATTACAGGCGTGAGCCACTGGAAACTAGTTGAAGCATATTTTCTTTTTTCTTTTCTTTTTTAAAATCAGTTCCTATTATTTAAAAGATGCAGACAGCTTGGCTAAGATCAAAAGAGCTAGCCTTGTAACTCTAAACTTCTATTTTTCCAGAAGAGTCTTACATCTAAGGAATGCCTACTTCCAAAGCACTGGGAAGGAATACTGCAGAGTATTCAAAAAGACCAGTTCTAGCTGATGCACACACTGCCCTGCCATCAGCAACCAGCTTCTCCTCTGGCTCCATCACTCACTGTAAATGTGTGGGTCCCTGGAGAATGTTAACAAAGTAAAAGTCCTGCCTTCCAAAGGATTCAGCCTGGCCTGGAAATCAAAACTTTGACTCTAGCTCTATCTATACATAAAAAAAAAAAAAAAACAAGTCCATGTTTGGCACAGCAGCAGCATAAGCCTAGGTAGACCTCAAGAGATAGGCACTCTACACCTGACCCAACAAGTCCTGGGAACTGGGCCCAGTCAGCCATTCTTCACACATGTATTTCCTTTCGATGATGAGCACAGCAGCCCAAGACAGAGTACAGGAAAGAGCCATAAAATCCTGCCCCTTCAGGAACACAATGTTGTTTTGGGGACTAGACCTCCAAGATTTTGACAATTCATTACTTTCAAAGATACAAAATCACCCTTGCCAAGTTGAGCACTATAAAACACTATTAAATACTTCACCTCTAATGATTATGAACAAATTAAACTACCTAATGTGAGTGAAATCTAATTATGAAAATGATAAACATGTAGAATTTATGACTCCTCCTACCCATAACTTTAAGGTAACCAGTTAAAGAACTTCCATGCATTCCTTTTCTGGTCAATTCACTTGGCTGGGAAGATGGCTAGAAATCAGAGACCAAAAGCATCTGCAGTGATTAGGTGTGACACAGTTCTTACTTATACCAGTGATACAATTTCAACTGATAAGACTTCAATGTTCCTTCCTTCCTACCTCCATGTGAAATAGATAGCATTCAGTAAGTCCCACAATGCTTCCCAATTTACTATAGTCAAAGGAAAGATGATCACCATGAAAGAGTTCTTCACGGGCTGGGAATGTGGCTTCGTGGTAGAGTGCTTGCCTAGCATGCATAAAACTCTGGGTTCGATTCCCCAGTACCACATAAACAGAAAAAGCTGGAAGTGGCACTGTGGCTCAAGTGGTAGAGTACTAGCCTTGAGCAAAAAAAACTCAGAAACAGTGCCCAGGCCCTGAGTTCAAGCCCCAGGACTGGCCAAAAAAAAAAAAAAAAGAGTCTGAAAATTCAAATTTCTTTAATTACAAAATCAGCTTCAATGATTCAACTGAAAACACCACCAATAAATATAGAGTATCAAAAATACTTCTGGGGGCTGGAGGGGGGGAGGGTGGCGTGCGCGCGTGCGCACACGGTGCGTAGCTGTCAGTAAAGCGCTGGCCAGTGAGTGAAAGCATCAGGTACTGAAGTCCCAATCTCAGACAACAAAACAAACTTCTAATGCATATATGGATTTTTTTGGGGGGTCTAGGTTTTTGGAGCTTTTGTTGTCCTGGAACTTGAATTCAGGGCTTGGGCACTCTCCTTAAGCTTTTTTTCTCAAGGCTAGTTGCTCTACTACTTGAAGCACAGCTCCGCTTTTGGCTTTTTGGTGGTTAATGAGTTATGAGTCTTACAGACTTTCCTGCTTTGGTTAGCTTCAAACCTCCATCCTCCAATCTCAGCCTCCTGAGATTGCAGGTATGAGCCACTAGTGCTCATACCTGCTCATGCTTTAAAAAAAGCTTTTTATAGTGGTAGGATTTGAACTCAGGGCTGTTTGAGGCATGCCTCTAGACTTTAAAATTATTTTCTTTTCTTTTTGTTGGTCGTGGGGCTTGGGTCTGGGTGCTGTCCCTGAGCTCTTCAGCTCAAGATGAGTGCTCTGCCCACTTGAGTCACAGCACCACTTCCGGTTTTCTGGTGGTTAACTGGAGATCAGGGTCTCATGGATTTCCTGCC